ATCATGACAAAGTTTCTTTACTATTTTTGCAATGAATTAGTTGAATTATCTCCATAATAAGGTGACCAAAATCTTAAGCATATTTCAAAGTAATCGGCAGAATAATTACATTTATAATTTATGTAACATAACTGATCAAAATGGTATTTTTCCATCGAAACCATTAGTTGGCTTTGATAGAAAGTGGAAAGTTGTGATCTAATCCTTCTTCCAGCTAGGCCGGTTACTATTTTTATAAAACATGTATATATAATAAGTTGTTTTTCATTAAAATCCAAATAGGTGCGTTTGTGGGAACATTTTTGCAATGGATTATAAAATCATTCGCTTTAGAAGAAAAACACAAGATTCTGTCTAGTACATGATTGTTTTTAGTAATATATTATTCTAGCTTTCCGCCCGCAGCTTCGCCCGTGTGGAGTTCGGTTATATCGCGTTACCAAGAGAACCTTTCAAAAGTCTGGGATAAAAACTATCCTATGTTCTTTCTCAAGGTCAATTCTATCTCTGTACCAAATTTCATTAAAATCAATTCAGTGGTTTAAGCGTGAAAGCGTAATAGACAGACAGAGTTACTTTCGCATTTATAATATTAGTAGGGATACTTTAAACTGTATGGTAATTTAGGATTGTATACGACCAATTAAAAAAGTCATTATTAAGTCAAAAATGAATTTAAAAGCTTACTAATATTAAACTTATAAGAAAACAATGCCTAAAGTATAAACAATAAATATAGTATAAAAATATTAAAATCTTTGTATATATCAATAAATACAAAATCGTTTTCTCAATACAGATGCTTAAATAAAACAGAATGCATCCTTTGAAGTAAGTTAAATAATTTATAATAAAAATGAATGACTCGGTACATCTGTTTTTAAACAATAAATAAGATTTGCATATAATATAAAGAAAAAACTAACATAAATTATGTTATTTATATAGAATTATTATATTAAGATTCATATTTTTAAACGCAAAAAAGTACATGGCATTTAAAAGTTAGGGTGACATTTGACAGTTGTAAAAATTTGAAAAAGAAAATTAGGTTGTAAATACAATAGTAATCTTCTATATATATAAAAATGGATTGCTGTTCCTTAGTCTCGCTAAAACTCGAGAAAGGCTGAACCGATTTGGCTAATTTTAGTCTTGAAATACTTCTGAAAGTTCAGGGAAGGTTTAAAAGGTGAGAAAAATTGGAATAATTGCCGGGAAAACCCTAAAAACAGTCCTTTTATATATCCCATACAAACGTTTTTTTTGACATTAGATTTGACAACTAACTAATATGTCAATCATTCTGTTTGATTGAAACAGGAAAAACCTGATTATTTATGGCCTCTAAGATGGAAAAGAGTTTGCCTGGTCGGCTATACCTACATATATTACTCTTGACCAAACTAACGCGGACGAAGTCGCGGGCAAAAACTAGTTAAGTAATAAATCATTTACTGTCGACAAACTTCGTCGAGTATTCTGCAAACAGTGCTCAAGATTATAATTCGCCAAATAAATAAAAACTATGACATTGTCAGAATAATATACGATTCTAGTGCGAAAGAAGATATAACATAAAAAAAACATTGATTTAAAATATTAAAGGGACTTTTTATTCGTTTTTTATTATATATAGTGTATTTTTTAACTAATAGAAATAAAGTGATAGCAATGCATTGCCAAAATTTTAAAACTGTTCAAGAATACTTCAGCCGTATATCAATAGTGATTTGTTTATTTTTGAAAACATATTTCTGTACATAAATATGTGTGTTCTTTTGATGCTTATTTTAAGGATGCATTTATAAAACAAGCAATGGATTTTTCTTTTGTATATTTTTACGGTTTACCATGTTTAAATTTTCTTTATACTTATAATATATTCCAAATTAATCTTCAATACAAATGATAATAATATTTAAAAATAAGTCATTTTATTGAAGTCTGAAATTTCTTTATTCTAATTTAATTAGTATTACGTAAAATTAAAGTACCTAATAAATCTTGAATCGTGCTAAAGTAATGGATTTTTGATACAATACACCTAGGTAAGTATTTCGAAATTTACTCCACCGTCAACCCACACAAAGTGCACACGACCCCACGAAAAGTAGAAAAAAAATACTCACTCACCCATTCAAAATCATTGTTCACACACACACAAGTCATATAGTATTTATAGAAAATTTAAATCGTCACTGTTCGCGCGAATGTTTAAAATGGCGTCCGACGCGCGCGCCGGTCGAACGACGTCTGACTCTGACTAACGAATTGATGAACCCGTGAAAGTAAATCGGGATTCGGGATATATAAAATTACTTTTCAACCGTGATGTATATATATCGATACTTTGAATTTTTTATTTCACTGTTTTTTATACAATTATAATTGTTTTTATATTTGTATGCTTACATTTGCTGTGCGCAGTGAGATGCTTTGAAAAAAAAATACACAATTTTTTTAGACACGCAATAATATTCCATTTTAAAAACCTGAGATAGTTCGTTTAGGAAATTTTCTGTCAATTCAATCAAATTTTTACTAATCATTTGGTCTAGACACGATATTAGATTAATGATATAGGGTAAGCGTAATGCAGTGATCGTTTTAACTTTCAAAACAAAATCTAAGTTTCTTTAGAAACTGATTTTTTGACCAGGTTGCTGAAAACCAAAGATTCGGAACCAAGATACTAAAACAAATCATGTTTTAATGGTTTTACTTCGTAAATCAAAAATATGCTCCGATTTTTTCCTGTCATAGTAAATAAAATTTTAATTATTATATATTTTGTTTATAAATATATCTTAAGAGTTATAACATAACTTTACAATTTAAAGTCTGGCTATCTTTTCTATCGTTTTTTTTACATCGATATCGACAATCCTGTACACAACACTAGTTATAGTTCACATCGACACCTGGCAAGTAAATTCTTAGAACTGTTTGTTTATTTTGTCTCGTATTTTTCTGTATTTACTGCTTACATGAACACAACGCTGAATTATTTCAAATAACAAGAAAGTGTAAAGACCGATCGCTTGTTAAGTTGTATCACTGTAACAAAGAGGTATTAAATATTATATCTCAGGGTTTTTCAATCTTTTTGATATCTCGACCCCTTTATGGGTTGAAAAATTTTGGCGACCTTTTTGTGAGGAAATTATTAGATAAAAGGCTAAGTTAAAGTTTAAGAAATTCTCAGCAATGGTGCCTGGTGGACATCAAAACAAATAGGAGAAATAAACTTCGAATTACAAGCTGATTTGATAGTTAATATTTCAAAAATAGCACCAGATTTGTTTTGTACAGTAGTGTAGAAGTTTACCTTTTCCTTTTTTCCAGCGACCCCCTGTTAAGTTTTCGTAACTCCTTGGGGTCACGACCCACAGATTGAAAAATAATGTTCTATCTGATCATATTTCTATTATATGAGATATTTTTGTATTCCAAAATGGCTTCCAAATAGTAATATAATATTTTAAATAAATGAAAAATTGGCTCATAAATAATCCGGGTTCAGTTTAGTTCCGATTTTATAAAGCAAAAAGCTAATTAACATTTTACGATTTTATCTATACTAATATTATAAAGCTGAAGAGTTTGTTTGTTTGTTTGAAAGCGCTAATCTCCGAAACTACTGGTTCGAATTGAATAATTCTTTTTGTGTTGGATAGTCCAGTTATCGAGGAAGGCTGTGGGCTATATAACATCACGCTACGACCAATAGGAGCAAAGATATAGTGGTAAATGTGTAAAAAACGGGAGAAATTATTTCATCTTTGAAGCCTTCCGTTGAATGCGCCGTGAAAACGGTTCAAGATACACCAAAAATATGTATTAACGCGACAGTATATGTATATCTTTTAAGATTAACTCAATAAAACCGTTTTATGGTACCTAATTTGGTCGAAATAATTTTATAAAATCTTTATTCAAATAAACAAATAAATATGTTGTTGGTTAAGAGTACTTCATTGTGAATAAAAAAAACATAGGTTTTATCCTGAAAATTCTATGGAACTCGACCATTCCGAAAACCCCGCAAGAACGGGAACTATGTGGGAAGAACCAAAAATCTGCCGGAAGTCACTATTCCACGCGGACGAAGGCGCGCTAAAAGCTAGTAACTAATAAATAAGGTTTTGTAACATTTCTATTTCTATAAATTATGTAGCATAAAATGTATATAAGATACATATATAATAATTGATGAAGCAAAAAGGGACTCAGTTTTAAATTAATAGAATCACTATTTAATAACGTTTTCATTGTCAATATTATAGTGAAAAAGTCAGTGTTTTGATAAATGATTGGTGATTCATCTTGATGCCAAAAATTCAACATACAAGATGTAGTTGTCTTTGGTCAAAGATATATGCTAATATATTGAGGTATATTTCTTGCGTGGAAGTGAGAATTAAGGTTTTGTTCACTAGAAGTTATCTTTTTCAATATTCGTGGAACTACTTGCCTCAAATGAGAAATGATTCCTTATTGTGTGGGGAAAAAAATTGTTTAATACTTGGGACTATCAAATATCAAGGGTTTTGCTGCAACCAGCAAAACTATTTATTTGGACTATATTGTTTTACTCCATGTTTTTATACAAGTTTGACTTTATCCTAATGGAGTGAAAAAACCACATCAAAACATACAAAATAGATTTTTTGCAAATTTTTTGGATAGTTTTTTGCTATTGTCTAGTTTTTGGTCTTTGTTTTAGCTCGTGTATAAGCTGGTATAATTATACCATTTTCTGATCCCTTGCTTGGATGAAAATAAAATAATTATTGTACTTCCCAAAATACGAAGCATATTTTGTGGAAGGTAATATCTACCGTTATGTTATAAATAAAAAAAATATAATAATAATTAATATCTTTATTATACTTATATTAATAACTTGATAAACTTTTTAACATTCATTTGGGACTATGACCCAAAAATTAATGGAAATTTGTACATAACAAAAAACGATCTGTACAGTTGGTTTTCTATGTTTTATCAGGGGCTTTGTCTGTTTGGACTTTCAAGGATTCTATTTTACTGGTGCTAACTATGGTTATAACATTTCTGACTTCGCTATGGTATCTTTTTACGTGATTTACTAAAAGGGACTTTCTAACAGACATATAGTCACAATAACTACATTTAAAAGGCTTTATGCCCGTATGTATAGTTTCGTGGCATAAAAGACTCTCCTTCCTGGCAGCTTTGTAATCACAGTAACTGCACTTATGCCCATTACCTAAGTGCTGGGTGGTAAAATGCTTCTGTAGTTCATATTTGTGACGGCACGAATACGAACAGATCGTGCATTTGTAAGCGTAGTGGCATTTCTGGTGCATGACAAACTGGCATTTGTAATTTGTGGTGAAGCTGCAAATGCCACAGTATAAAATCTTGTCTGAATGGCTTCTTTTATTGTGTAACGCTATTTGGTCCTTCGTTTTAGTTGAGAAGTCACAGTTTACACATTTGTACGGCCTGTTTTGACTGCCAGTGTGATGTCTTTGGAAATGCCTTTGCACTGCTGCTTTAAATTTAGACGTGTATGTACACATATGGCAGAGAAATGGTCGTTCTTTATCATCAGATTCAAGAACTTGAATGCTGTTCCAATCTAGGCAATTCGGGTCCAACGTGTATTGATTCTGACCATCTTTTTTGGGTGTCTGCTCAATCATTGCTATATTAGCCTGATGCTTAACTTCTTTATGGACTATACCAGCTCCATATATTTTGTTGTAGTGCGTTACTTTATGTTTTTTACTCTCACACATGTATATAGTTTCAAACTGGCAGTAGGAGCATTTGATTGGATTCTCCTGTTTGCTCCTCTGTTTATGAATGTTGAGTCTCCAACGTACTAGTGTGGAAAAATCACAGAATTCACATTTATTCGCTTTTTCAGTAACTTCATTATGTATTTTAGCGAGATGTCTCGTTATGTGTCCTTCGAATTTTGTTATAAACGGACATTTATCACATTTGTACAGAGATTCTTGTTTATTGTGGACCTTGCTGTGTTTTAGGAAGTTATGCCTGTATGCCGTTGAATATGAGCATTCCGAGCATTTGAATTGTTTCTCAATATTGTGTTTTCGTCTATGTGCTTTTAAGTTCCACTTAAAATAAGTTGTGTATTCACAGTCGTTGCATTTATGAAGACTTAGTAGTTTTTTATCTTCCTCGGTAATATCAGATTCTTTCGGTTGATGCCGGATCAAGACATGCCGTTGCAGTGAAGTCGGGTATTTCGTTGTATAAGAACATATTTCGCAAGCGAACGGTTTGCTATTAGTGTGTCCCACCATATGTAACTTCAAACAATTCTTATAAACCGTCGTATAATCACATTCGGAGCAGTTCAAAACTTTGTTGAATTTCCGTTTGCTCTTCTTGGGAGGTCTGAAAAAGGTAGATTATAAATATAGAATCCATAGAAATATAAAATAAGTATTAATAATGTATTACAAGAACCAGAAGACAGATAGGATAAAGATTTAACTTAATAACTCAAATTATATACAAAATTTTTGACTTTAATTCTTTCAAGATCCAATAAAATAATTACTTTGTTGTATTCTTTAATTTGTTATTTATATATTAAAGATTATATAAGGAGATGCAATCTAAAGAAACTGCACAAGTTTTCTATAGGCCGAAGAATATCTCACAGATATTACAACTAAATTATTTTTCTTACAAAAATGGAGAGATTGAAATTCAAGCAATTAATTGTGAGTTCTATATATATAAAGTATACATACTTATATTTTGATATGTTTTGTCTTTAGATTTCCCATTAAATTGTCTTGTCTAATAAGTTTTATGTATATACTTAGCTTAAAACTTATTAATATATAATATATTGTTTATCTTATGTTATATATCTTATAAGACTAAATTTTAATATGAAATCAAACTAAGCAATTATTATTTTGCTAAAAAGTTATTATTACTGTGACAAATAGATGTAAATGCTTTATAGTTTTTATAAAGAAAACTTTTGGGGAGGTATATTTGTATGTAATAAAACAGTTTCCAAGTCTACATAACATAAAATATATATACATATATATTGGCGCAAATTCATATAAGGTGTCTAGTAATAGTTTTAATATTAAACCTACGCTTCGGGTTCTGATTCCGATTCTACTTCAACCTTAACCCAGACACTAGCGAACATGCTCATCATATCACTCTCAGCTTCTGGTGGTGAAGAACCCTCATCTTTAGTGGTATCACCCATGATATACTGAAGTGAGAAATAAAATTATAAGTTCTTGTTTATTTTTATATATAACTGAGCATTTACAGTAATTTAAAACGTACGTAGCAATATTTACATACAAATAAAAATACAAGGACCTTTGGCATACGTATATTCTGCCAAGAATCAACTTCGTAGTTATTTGATCACAATATTGATATAGTTATTATGAATTTTATTATAGATTATTATGAGGTAAAGTTATCATACTTACTGAGCTATTTTGTTATTTAATATTTACAAAACAAAGCGTAATAAAATGCCATTTTTACTGATTCAATCCTGAAAAAAATCAATTATGTTTTTAATTCGTTTAGAAATTATTAAGCTAACATTTTTATTAAATAAATAAAATAAAAATAAGTTCAATTAATCGTAAGAACTCTTTCTTATTAGAATTAAAGTCTTTTTTCAATAAGAAATTGTGAATACTCTTAAAAAACTAAATAAAATAGATTCTTATTTCCAGACATTACTTCAGATTAATAAATTTGACTGGCAAGTGGCAACATCATTCCTCTTGTCAAAATATTGTACTGAGCTTATGTAAATTATAAAATGTTATAGTGTTTACTAAATCTTGAAAAAGTAAATAAAAATGTACACAGAAGTTGATGTGTTTGTTAGTAATTACACATTGATAGATCCAGAGATATATCAACTGTGGATTGAAGGATGCTCTTGTAGGTTATCACTTTTTTTGATTGGTTTACGTGATTAATCACGATTGTGAATAACAATTTATATATAACATTTATTCGTAATTTTTAATCTTGGCGTAGTAAAAGAAAACAATTTTCCACATTCTTTCACCATTAAAAAATATATATATAAATTGAATTCCGATAATGTTAAACAATATTTTTATATAAGACAGATATTTTCAAGATTTTTTTTCTCATCAGCAAGTGAAGCGGTTTCTACTTTACATCAGAGGTCTGTAGCTAAACAGACGGGAGCTACAGTCGAGCTTATTGCTAGCGATGTGTTGGACCATTACAGGTAAAACACAAAAAGTATATATATATTTTTTTCTTACCAATAATGCTATTCTCAGCCATATTGATCTTGGTCCTTGCCAACTAAAGATGATTATAACAACATATATACACTTCTGTGTATATTAAAGAATCAGTAAATCCATAAAAAAATTCAAATATACAATATTATATTGGTTAAAGTTCCATGGTGCTGTCTTAATTTTTATTCTATTCTCTAATTTAAAAACGATTATAATGATTTTGATAAAAATCTAATTGTGACAGTTAAATAATTATATTAATTTGAGTGAGGACACCATAGCTTAATAAGTGCTACAGCTATTATTCCAGAGGTCCGAAGTTCGCAACCTGTTATTATTGATGAATTTTTCATTCTATATTATATATATATTTTAATTAATTTTATTATTGTACCCACAATCATTCAGTTTGACCTAAACACCAAAAAGTTCTTATATACATTATAAAAGTTTATCTCAATGTAAAATTTAATATGTACTTTATTTACAGGACCTTTGCTCTTCTAGAACGTCTTCTAACGGTACCCTCAAAGCTATCAGAACAAATGACCTTTCAGATTGACGAACAAACCAAACACATGCTTATTGAGAAGTAAGTATAACTAATGATAATCTTCTCATCATTCCATGTATTCACGGTGCGTGTGTCGGGTCCATCGTTGTAGTGAGAGGAGCTTCAACAGTGACTGGGACTTGTGACCCAGGTGTAGGTTTAATATATATAGAGAGACGAAACCTCTCATCATTCAATGTATTCACGGTGCGTGTGTCGGGTCCATCGTTGTAGTGAGAGGAGCTTCAACTGTGACTGTGACTTGTGACCCAGGTGTAGGTTTAAGGGACCCTATCTAACATGTTAAATGCTCGCCTCCACTGTACAAGCTCCTCTACCAAATTTGAAACGAACCTACTAGGGCTGCCTTCAAAGTACATTCTAAGAATGAATTGATATTAGTTCTGGACAAGCCCAAGTCTTTTAGTAAGTTGTAGAGAGATTTAGTTGTTATACCTCCTGCTCGAACTTCTACTAAGTATAATTTTGCAAAGAACCTATTTTTAGTGAGTAACTAAGTACTATTATACCCTCGACTTTATCATGAGTCTTTCAAAATTCTATACATATACAAAATAATGTATACTTTAAGTAATGTAGGTATGTTATTTAAGTATACAGCGGCATCTATTGTGTATAACATTTAACTATATAACTTACATAATGTGTTTTCATTGAAATACATAAAGTGTTTTAATGAATTACAAACTACAATTACTCTCATACCTAAACTATATCTTGGAAAAGTTTGATCAGAATCTGTTTAGGACTTTTCATAATTATCACATTTGTAATATTAATAGGATTTATTAGTACATTAATATATATAATGATAATTTCTTCAGATATTATGATCTTGATGATGCTGTTATACGGGAACTGCTCGGTAGGAAGCTGTCTTCTCGACACAGAAAGGATTTAGATGAGGTATGTACATATATATATAACTAGCTTTCCGCCCGCAGCTTCGCCCGCGTGGAGTTCGGTTATATCACGTTTCCAAGAGAACCTTTCAAAAGTCTGGGATAAAAACTATCCTATGTTCTTTCTCGAGATCAACTCTATCTCTGTACCAAATTTCATTAAAATCAGTACAGTGGTTTAGGCGTGAAAGCGTAACAGACAGACAGAGTTACTTTCGCATTTATAATATAAGTAGGGATTATTTATTAAATATAATATAAAGTGTGTTTTATTCTTGTCATATATATACGAAAATGAAATTTTAATGATATTTAATTGTTAATCACATAATTTTTGGATATATCTCACGTTTTTGTCATTTTTATTTCAAAACAAAGGATTTCATAATAAATTATGTCTATACTAGCTGCGACCCGCGGTGTTACCCGTGGATTTCCGGGATGTACAGTAGCCTATATGTTATTCCTGGACGTTAGCTTCCTGTATACAAAATTTTATCAAAATCGGTTCATCCGCTTGAGTGTGAAGAAGTAACAAACACACACACACACACACTCACAAACTTTCGCAATTATAATATTAGTAGGACCAACATTTGTTTTTCTGTTTTAACTAATCCTTTTCATATAAGGGGCTGTCCATTAATCACGTGAGGCTTGAAAGGGGGGGGAGGGGTTTGATAAAAATCACGAAAATATCACAAGGGGGAGGGGGGGTGTAGTAAGATATCTCGTGTATTTATTTTTTCGTCTAACGCGCGATTTTTAAACAAATGTAAAATATTTTTTATAAATATTAAAAAAAAATACACGTGATGTTGAGAAGGGGAAGGGGGGGTGGTCTTAAACCTCACTACGTATCACCAATGGGGGCGGGGGGGTTAAAAAATGCTAAAAAAAAGATCACGTGATTAATGGACAACCCCTAAGTCGATGTTTAATACCCTTAGTCTGAGTTGTAACGTAAACTATCAAACGTTAGGTAGCCGAGCGTTCGAGTGCCCCATTACGCTGTTGTCGACGTCAATTCGACAACGTTCGTCGTGTGTTTCAAGCTGTTGAGGAGATGCCAGGGAATGTGGTGACAAACATACGAACAACATTCCTTATATCAGAACCGCTGGCTAAGTGAGTAGTGAGAACATATTTTATGCCTAGTGTTTTAATAATATACAGGGTGACTGGTGAATTACTATCAATATTTAAGGAGAATACTCGGTCCATGATTCTCATTCGAATTATATAAAAAAAATTGGTACTTAATTTTTGACCAAATTTCCGTATAAATAAATAAAGTCTTGACACGTTCCAAGTGTTCCAAGTGTGGACGCGTGCGGCGGCGTGGTGTTATATCAGCATGTGTGTGTGTGTGTGTATACCTAATCTGTAGGATGTTCACATGATGCGTTATTAATTACATAACTTTTGGTTAACTTTACTTAGAAGTTTATTAATATTTATGTTATATTAATTTTTATTTTGTCATATATGATCGTCAAATATCACGCCCTCGAGTATCGATAGTAATTCACCAGTCACCGTGTATATATAGCTGACCGGCAAACGTTATTTTACCGTATAAAAATAGGGGTTGGTGATAAAAATGTGTAAATTTAGGTTTGTATGTATTTTTTAATGCTACATTATAAAGAAAATATTAAGGGTGAACAACCCTTATGACTTAGGGGTATGAAAAATAGATGTTAGCCAATTCTCAGAGCTAGTCAATATGCTCACAAAATTTCATCAAAATCGGTCCATCCTTTTCGAAGGAGTTCCCTGTCTAACACCGCGACACGAGAATTTTATACATATATAAGATAATCTCTTAAGTTCAATATGATTATTTTTCCCATTTAAATAATTGTACCTATGTATATAGTTTATGGCTCAATGTTATAATTAATATTTTTTTATAGGAAATACGGCGCCGTAGTATTCATTGCGTGTATGAGATTCGAGACCACTAAAAGGAAGTTACAATACTTGTCCTTCAATGATTTCTATCACTGTGCTCAAGTGAGTATACCATTTCATTCAGTGGAATTCTATATATATATATTTAGGTTCGAAGAATAACCAAAAAAATACTAATTACAAACTAACAATTTAATAATTCTCACAAATTTCTAAAGTAATAGATTTTAAGTGTGATACTATTACACAATGATGATTGATAACTCAGAATCTAACAATGTGATTATAAAATTAGTCACGCTACCAAATTGACGGTTCAAGAGCAATAGAAGGACTAAACTTGACTACACATTTTTTTTAAAATAATTTGTAATATATGTATATATATACTAGCTGCGCCCCGTGGATTTTCGGGATTTCTGAGATTTCCGGGATGTTAAGCAGCCTATATGTTATTCCTGGACGTCAGCTGGCTGTATACAAAATTTTAACAAAATCGTTTTAGCCGTTTGAGCGTGAAGAAGTCAAAAACATACACACACACTCACAAGCTTTCGCAATTATAATATTAGTAGGAGATATATACATATACAGGGTGACTGGTGAATTACTATCGATATTTGAGGACGTGATTTTTGACGATCATATATGACGAAATAAAAATTAATATAACATAAATATTAATAAACTTCTAAGTAAAGTTAACCAAAAGTTGTGTAATTAATTACGCATCGTATGAACACCCTACAGATTACTCTACACTACACACTCACACATACGCGCGCGGCGACGTGTTGTTGTATCAGCACGCCGCCGCACGCGTCCACACTAGGAACACTTGGAACGTGTACACACTTTATTTATTTATACGGAAATTTGGTCAAAAATTAAGTACCTATTTTTTTTACATAATTCGAATGAGAATCATGTACCGAGTATGCTCCTTAAATATTGATAGTAATTCACCAGTCACCCTGTATACATACTAGAAGACCCGGCGAACTTCGTATCGCCCTATAGTCAAGAAATATCTGTTACGTTTTTTATTTATATTTTTGGAGTTTACCCATTAAAGCCATAAATCTCCGTGTTTTGAAGTGCGACAGAATGATTGACATATTAGTTAGTTGTCAAATCTAATGTCAAAAAAAACGTTTGTATGAACAACTACTAATAAATTAAAAATTAATTAGAAAAACATTTTCCATCGGACAAAATTGTGAATCTAAACCATTCCCAGATCCCCTTGAACACACACAAAAAATTTCATCAAAATCGGTCCGGTCGTTTGAGAGAAGTTCAATGACATACACACTCACAGAAGAATTATCTATATAAAGATGTATATTGTGGTTCCAGGCGATCATGTCAAGTTGGACGTACAGCTGTACAGGTCCAGAATATTACGACACAGAGATGGACAGAGAGTTCCTATTGGAGTTAAGAGAATTAAGGATACTACTGGATAAAGAAAAGGAACACAAACAGTGAGTATATTAAGAAAAAATTGTTTACCAGTATGAATAATTTGTATCTCATAAAAATATGTATGTTTTTCTTAAAAGTTAATTTTTAATGTACAACCTATATGTAGCAATAAAGTTTTTATTATTATTATTATTATTATTAAACAGTGAGTATATGTGAAGCTTTATATATAGAGCCTATCTATCATACTACAGCTCTGTTCACATGTTCACACTACAGAACATGTTCTGTATCGTTGAAGTACCACCCTCTCACTGAAGATCGGCGTGAAGTAGTCTTTAATGGATGCGTTTAGTATGATGAGTGAGAGAGATAGTTGCTCTTTCTCTTTCCCACACAATCAAGGTCAGCAACGCATCCAGAACATCTCTTATATGTTAAATAATTTAAATTCTTTTTAATTATATAATTGATAGAAAGAAAATAACTAATGTTTAATATATTTAGTGCATGCTGTAATGACCTATAAAAAGAAATACAATTATCAAGTGTGTTCAATTGTTAACTATATAATATTTGTAATATTATTGTCATTTCCGTTGGTGATCCTATAAAATAAATAAATAAATAAATGTTACACATGTACACTGACCATCAAGTAGACCGTCTGCTTGTTTGTCACTTTTCTCATAAAAAGTCGTATTTCAATAATTTTATTAATATCTTGCAATCTATTTCCAGTTTAATCTGCATGCGGCTGAAACCCAAGTTGCTTGAGAAGTCTTACCAGGAATTGGAGCTAAACTTCAGGTAAATAGTAATATAGTGCATTAAAATTATTTTTTCTTATAACCCAAAAGAAAACTAATTCAAGGTCACTGTTAAATTAAATGCTCACCATTTTTAACATACTATCATACTCTAAAAATCGTCTTAGTGAATATTGTAGAATATTTTCGATATTGTGTAACAGCGCCATCTAGTGACGAGCGGGCGAACTATAATCTAAACCTTGTAACACTAGCATTCTTTGTTATTGTACATATTTTCGTTGTCTTTATTCATTATCGATAATAAGAGATAAATAAATTATTTTTTTCTTTGTTTTCAAGTTGCTTATGTTTATAAATCGCTAATATTATTTATATATATTGCAGGCTATACTCGCGCGCCCTGGTGGGCCTCGCGTGTAACTTACACAGAGGAAGAGAACTCAGATCATTGTTTGTGGATTTATTGGAACGGTGAGTTTGTTATATGAATATATGAAATTAATATTAAGTTGCCACTCACGTCGTCCACAACTGAGCTGCCTCTTCTCACATGGAGAAGGTTTGAGCATTTATCACCACGCTTGCTCAAGACGGGTTGGTGATTTCAAACTTATAATTTAATTATAAGTCCATGTTTCCTCACGATGTTTTCCTTCATCTGTCAGTGATGTCTAAATACTCTTATAAAGTACATATGACTCGGATAAATCACATTGGTACTTGCCAGGTTTTGAACCCGCGTCCTCATGCATGAGAGTTTGGCCTTTGACCACTAGGCCACCACGACTATATATATATATATATATATATATATATATATATGTATACATGTACACATATATATGTTTTCTATTTTGTTCTCAGATGCATAGAACCTCTGCGTCTCGGAGGCTGGCCAAAGACAGATTTAGCTCAATTTCTTTGCGCCTACGAGCAATGCGCGCTTCAGATGGATGTACTAAGGTAGTTACATACATATACAGGGTGACTGGTGAATTACTATCAATATTTAAGGAGAATACTCGGTATATGATTCTCATTCGAATTATGTAAAAAAAATAGGTACTTAATTTTTGACCAAATTTCCGTATAAATAAATAAAGTGTGGACACGATCCAAGTGTTCCAAGTGTGGACGCGTGCGGCGGCGTGCTGATACAACACGACGCCGCCGCGCGCGCGTGTGTGTGTGTGTGTGTGTGTGTGTATACCTAATCTGTAGGGTATTCACACGATGCGTAATTAATTACACAACTTTTGGTTAACTTTACTTAGAAGTTTATTAATATTTATGTTATATTAATTTTTATTTTGTCATATATGATCATCAAATATCACGTCCTCAAATATCGATAGTAATTCACCAGTCACCCTGTATAAAGATCATTTACTGAGTAATATATTAATTAATACATATATTTACAGAGAAGCTGATCTGAAGAGCGCATGGGAAAGATACATGAAAGTAATAAGCAGATGTCTCCTAACAATGTACCCTGCATGATGTAGTCAAATAAAATACTTGTATCCTATTTATATTTATAAATTAACACTTTTTTTTATCACAAATAGTATTGTAAATTATTGTTATAATAAAATTTTAAAGACTAATTGGTTTTGTTACTCAATAACAAATGTGGCATTTAATTAGTTTCAACTCAAATTTTTAGGAACAAAGTTACTCTGAAATTAATTGTTTAAATATAATAAAAAAAGCCATTTTGAATTATTTTTATATTTCCCCCAAACAGTATATGACATAAGTAATCTTTCTTTGGACATAGAAAAGTGACTTAGCTTTTAATTAGAATTATCTTAGCTTTTTATTATAATAATCAAGATTCTCAGAGTATAAAACAGGATAACATTATTTCATTGTCATAGGTACATACTAAAGGAGATCATTGTTTTTGGGCCTTTTTTAAAAGTGCCGGCCAACAAAAAAAAATGGTACATATTTGTAGAACTAACCATTTGGAACAATAGTTAATATGGCGCAAAAGTTGTAGGATCCAAGATATAGAAGTTATTCAAGTTTCAAGATTCATCATTTTGGTACTTTATTTTATTCTGAAAGTGCCAGGAAATATAAAATAATGATTGATATTGCTAGAGTTAAGCTTCTCAAGTAAATCATTATAGCCATAATCTGTTAGAAACCTGTCGTTTTTATGTAATAATAGCGAACCCGACACACGTTGTTCCGCCAAGTATCTGAACGCATGCAACACATTTCTTGATGATTTTATTATTTGTCTAACCTAATATGTATATCGGGGTGCCATTTTTATACAGGCTGTATGAAAAACTGTGTCAACCCTTGAAGGCACGTATACATATAAGTATAAGCTTATTATAAAAAATAGTATAACTTAAAAAAAATCAAGCAGAAGTTAGTTACAGTGCATAGGCTAAGTAAGTTTTAAATCGACATTTTTCGAAAGAATGTTTCAAACATCTGACTCATACAAGGTCAAGACACCGTGTAGTCGCTACGACGCATGCGTGACCATTGACCGCAGGCGACGGGCCGCCGGCGTTATTATTACTATTCTGTTATTTGTTCGAATAGAGATTTGAAAGTGTAAAAATTAGTTATATCGATAAATATTCTATCGACATTTTCAATATTGCTATAAATAGTTATGCTTTTCACATTAAAATAATTTCATTTAAAATAACTTTTATTAATATAATAAATATTATAATTTGACACTTGTTCAGGTAAATTAACTACATATGTTGTATTATTAGGATAAATCGTTAATCTATTTCTGTTAAAAATGGTGTTTTACAATCAAACATAATATTAATGTTTGATATATCAAAATAAGTATCGAAATAATATTAATATTAAATATTTATTTACTGTTATGATTTTTTAAATATCGATATTTTCAATAATGTGAAAGTAACTTCAAGGTCGTCACTAGTAGCGCAGCAGCTGTGATGACGTCATTGCGTGTCATCGTGTTATACCAGTGGGTACAAACATTTTGTTACTCTACATATAATAATCATTTAATATTTAATTTTATTATTTTTATTGAAGAGTTTGTAAATGTAAGTTGTTTTATTGTGTTACATTATCGATACTGATAACGTAGTTAAGAGGGTTGACACAGTTTTTCATACACCCTGTATATTAAAAAAATGGGCCTAGAAGCACTTTTAACTGATTTTGTACCATTTCGGGTCGGATTTGATCATATGACGCGAGAGCAAGTGGCGCAGAGCATGTACATAACCGCATGACTCCAGATTTTCTATAGCATCTCTAAAACCACGGTCTAATATAAAAATGTCACCAGGCCGGTAAAACCAGTGAAATACATTATTCAGTGCATCATTTAAAATCTGGGCATCGGAGGTTGTTGCAGCGATGGGCCATCTACCGCTATTATGGTTCCATTGCAACAAATATTTAAAAAAGGCTTTAAAAGATTTCGAAAGTTATGGTTGCTATAAGATTTTCTTTGAAAAAAGAAATTAGTGCTCTTCCGTAAATATATGTAAGTGCCATCAAGTATAGAGATGGCCTTTCTTTCTTCAATCGGACTATTAGGATTACCAAATTATCGCTCTGGCACTATGAGGTTCCTCTGCGCCACTTGCTCTCGCGTCATATGATCAAATCCGACCCGAAATGGTACAAAATCAGTTAAAAGTGCTTCTAGGCCCATTTTTTTAATATATAAAAATGGCACCCCGATATACATATTAGGTTAGACAAATAATAAAATCATCAAGAAATGTGTTGCATGCGTTCAGATACTTGGCGGAACAACGTGTGTCGGATTCGCTAGTATTACATAAAAACGACAGGTTTCTAACAGATTATGGCTATAATGATTTGCTTGAGAAGCTTAACTCTAGCAATATCAATCATTATTTTATGTTTCCTGGCACTTTCAGAAAAAAATAAAGTACCAAAATGATGAATCTTGAATAACTTCTATATCTTGGATCCTACAACTTTTGCGCCATATTAACTATTGTTCCAAATGGTTAGTTCTACAAATATGTACCATTTTTTTTGTTGGCCGGCACTTTCAAAAAAGGCCCAAAAATGTATGAAGCCTGAATGATCTCCTTTAAACATATATATTTATAATAAATAATAGTGCTCTACCTATTTAATATTTTGATAGAAGTTTTATAATCAATTTTTATTTCTAAACTGTACACACTGGCTTCAGACATTTTGAATATCATTGATAAAATACGCGCCAAACAATTTGTCATTCAAAAATTATGTTTAAAATACATATATCCAAAAGTTTTGTAGAAAACTAAATATAGTTAACAGAATATGAATTAATTTGCACCGAGCCTAAGGTAAATATTTTTTATAATTGAATATTAAATTGGAATTTAAATAAAACATCACTGATTTAATAATAGTTTAATGTCATCACTAAATAAGAACGGTATCACAAAAACAAACACGATATAAATTTGTACATAAATTATTATTTACATAAAGATTTTAAAGTTTCTCTTAAATATATTGTAGTATATGTGAGAGTATATACACGCAGCCAGAGTCTTTGGTAATATTTACAACAGCTCTTTAGAAAATGTATGAGATTTTTATAATAAGTACTTAATTAAGTATCTATATAAACTACCGAACCTAGTATTCAGCAAGTTTTTATCCACAACTAGTGTAGCCAAGGCACTATCATTAAATTGGTGCCGGACTGAATATGAAATGTTTTATCCATACAATTATTACGTATAAATTTCTATGTTAATGTATTAAAAGCATAATTCATCTATGTAATACAGATGGGAATGTCATTCTGTTGTGCGTTAATACTGCTAAGATATCTTGTCTTTATATCCGAGCCCACAACGGTTCCTTCTTCCAGCAGCCTTTGATTCGTTCTCAGTACATCACTCTTACATACAAAGTCTTTATATTTTCACTGTTTTTCCCTCTCACAGTACTTTTCACTGTTTCAACTCGACTCATATATCAACTTCACATATTTTTCTCTTCAGCGGTAGACCATAGTTTGCTTTCTTGATGACTTCTTGTTTCATACGCAGGTAAGATTCAACTCTTGATAGTCCGTATTCCTATAAATAGAGATATATACATTAATTATGTGTTTATATGATTTATTTTTAATATACATATATATGATTAAACAAATATTTTCATTATGTAATATGAATTAAAATTAATTCCTCTTATGCATATGGGAACGGGTTCGAAACCTGGCAAATACCAATGTGATGTTTCTGAGTCATATGTACTTTATAAGAGTATTTAGACATCACTGACTGATGAAGGAAAACATCGTGAGGAAACATGGACTTATATCAAATTATAAGTTTCAAATCACCAACCCGTCTTGAGCGAGCGTTGTGATTAATGCTCAAACTTTCTCCATGTGAGAAGAGGCTCAGCAGTGGGCTCTGATAGGCTGATGATGTATTATAATTATCAACTTACCCAATAACCGAAGGGTATTTGGCTCTTGGATGCATTAACAATGGACCATAGAGACCAGAAAAGGTCGCTTGCCAATGCAAATGCCTCCACTTCGGCTAACAGTTGATTGACATCATCTATTGAAGGCAACCTATCTTCTCCTGAGTGATAATGCTTCAGATACTCCTTGATAAAAATCTCCTGAAAAATCACAATAATTCATTATTGAAATATATTTTAGTATAAAATACTGACATATTAATATTAGTTATTATAAATGGTTTGATATTGCAAGATTTATGAGAAAAATATTTACATGATGATTGCTTTATATTATACAATAAAATTCTTAAAAATTCAACACAATATTTAAATATAAGAGAAAATTTTTGATTTAATATTCAGAATATTTGAGAAATATTTATATTGGTGTCAAAAATAAAATTCCCGAGCACTTAATTAATAATGATATTATTAAAATGAATCCCTTTTTATGTTTATGGATTATTTTCATGTAAAATATAAGTACGGCCTTCTATGTTTAATTGACCACACTTTATAAATATTTTTAATGGTATATTAATTTTGTGGAATCATAATTGGACTATCTTGAAAATGAAAATATGAAAATAATAATTACAAATACACAACTGTCATTCACATTCGTCGTAATCGGTTAAAGGGTGGTCAAATTACAATTCCACGTATATAACAAACAAATATACCACATTATTTAATATATACCTATTTTTAACTATATTTGGTCTAAAATTTACAATAATTCGTTTGTCCGGTCACTTCGCTTGCCGCTCGGCCCCGTATTGAACTACCGACCCTTTGTCAGGAACTAAAAATAAGCACACAAACAAAAGCTGCGTATTTTACGTCTTCACGTAATGTTTCAGCGTAAACATTTCTTTTATTATATCATTTCCATAATTTTCAGGAACCAAAAGCTCATATTTAATAATTAGTTTAACTTTTGGCCCATGAAATATTCGATAATTATGGAAACACGAATTTGTTTTTGGCTCAAAAATATATTTTAAAGCGACGAATTGACGGGATATTTTTCTGCATGAATATTTTAGATGAGACCAAAGAAAATAACAAAAAATCTCATCTATATACAAGCGTATTGAGAGAAGCCATTGTGTTAATGAAGCGATGATTTATATATTGTGATTTGTGGTATATATATATCTTACCTTTTGCTCCAATGTGGCAGCGTTTTCGTGGTTCTCATGATAGAATGGCGGTTCAGGATTCGTGTAATCATAACACCATTCTTGAAAGTGATTTGCTATATCAAAACCTCTGTAATTATACGCGCAGTATTCAAAGTCTATGAGCACCAATTTTGGCTCTCCGCTATCTGAAATCTGACTTATGATAGAATCTTCGTCTTCATAATGAATCTGTTTTTTAGCTTCGAATGAGCTAACAAAAGCTTTTTTATCTTTGTATGAGCTCACAAAAGCCGTTGATTCTTCTTGGTTACTTGATTCTTCTAACCCATAATGAATTTCCTTCTTGTCATCGTATGCGTTGACATAAGATTCTTCTTCATTGGGAGTTTCATCTTCTAACATAAGAATGTTGCCTGGAATTAACATTAGGTATATTATTATTTTATATATATAAAAAACTTGTGTTAGTTACACTATTTATAACTCAAGAACAGCTGTACGGGTATAGTTGAAAATTGGTGGAGAGATAGATTAGAACAAGGAGACGGACATAGGATATTTAATTCTGATCGATCGAAAACTTAATTAAGTCCAATATCTGGTTATTTACGGCCTATAGGGGTAGAGTTAACCCGGTCAGCTATACATATATTACTAATTCCGAAATTAACGCGGACGAAATCTCGGGCAAAAACTAGTAGAATATATATTTATACAACACACATTTAATTTGAACCGAACCTTTACACTCCCGAACGCACCCGAGGCGAGGTTAAAGCGTTGACGTTTGGTTTGTTCACTTTTACGAGGGAAAGTATTGTGTGTTTGTAAATTGAATTTAACTTATTGAAGGTCTTTTGGTTTAAGATAATAATTAGTTTGTTCTAGTTAAGTTATGATTTGTTATTTAAAAGTACTGGCTTTATAAGACAAGTATAATTTTTAATTATATTGTTAGTATTATTATATATTATTACCTTCTTGCATGTCATTGTGACAGAATACTACGGGAGATTCAACCGTGGCGAGGAATTTCTTCAACCACTCAATTTCCTTATCAAAATCAATTGTACGGAGATGTTTGATAATACTCTGTTCCTGGTCGTTCTAGAAGAAAAGATCACGTATTAATTGAAATCAGAAATATATACAGAAAATAAATTATATACATCCCTACTAATATTATAAATGCGAAAGTAACTCTGTCTGTCTGTCTGTTACGCTTTCACGCCTAAATCACTGAACTGATTTTAATGAAATTTGGTACAGACATAGAATTGACCTTGAGAAAGTACATAGCATAGTTTTTATCCCAGACTTTTGAATGGTTCTCTTTGAAACGCGATATAAGCGAACTCCACGCGGGCGGAAAGCTAGTTTTCTATATATCTTACCTTTCCAACGACCGTATTAGATAATCTTTCTTCTTTAACTATCTTGCTCCACTTGTATATTGTTTTCCAGAGCCAATTCGGTTCTTTTGATAACGGAACGTCCATTGAATGTATGGCAGCCATTTTCTCAGCGATTTTCATTGATAGCGATGGTTCTGATAATTCTTTGGTGAGGAGTGATCTGGCCTAAAAAATTATGGAATTATTAATAATAATTTACAAATATATCTAGAATTCGCGAGTATTGATTCAAATAAAACGGTAAGTGCAAAGTAATGTATTTGGTATGTAGTTAAAAATAAAAAAATCGTAGTAAATACGTAAATATGAGTTTAATTTGAATAGTTTTCGGAAATTTACTCGTAGTGGCTATATTTTTTTTGCTTTTATTAACGCAAGATTTCTAATGTTACTTCGATGGATTTTTTGTAAACTGATGCCAAAGAATAAGAAAATTATAGTGCATTTTAGGCAAAAAAATTGCCAATAAACTGGGATATATACATATATTTTTTGTTCTTTTCTAAACCGTTCTATCGTAAAAGCAAACATTATAATTACTAAGACCAAAAATGTGGTAAAATATAAAATAATAATAATAAAACGAGTAAAATCCTTATTTTTCGTAAACTTCCACTCACCGGCACATACTGTTCTATTCTTCCACCAGAAAATACTCCGTGCAACTTCGGCCCGAGTCTTCTTTCAGATAGTAGAGTGAATATTACTGACTCTGTCACAATAGCATCCATTGCTCTTTCACCGTGGACTTGTCCGTATATACGCAGCAAAACCTTGAATTAAACAAACAAAACATTAAATTATGGACCATAATTGCTAAATTTCATTAGCACCAAAAAAAATTTTGTAGACTAGTGGTTAAACGCCTCTCATGTGTGGGCGCGAGTTCGAAACCTGGCAAGTACCAATGTTATTTTTCCGAGTCATATGTACTTTATAAGAGAATTTAGAGACTACTGACAGATGAAGGAAAACATCGTGAGGAAACATGGACTTATATCAAATTATAAGTTTGAAATTGTCAATCCGTCTTGAGCAAGCGTGGTGATTATTGCTCAAACCTTCTCCATGTGAGAAAAGGCAGCTCAGCAGTGGGCTCTGATAGGTTGATGATGATGACATAACAACACGATTTTTGGGCATATTTCCTCAATAGCCCCTATAATGTGATATAAACCTCACCTTTTTCGGTTCATCCATGGAGAATGAATGTGAGCTCATTATCTGTCGTTTGTGAAGCCTTGCGTCATCAGCATCCAAGGAACTCTCACGAGAGTAACGCATTTTGCTCGCATCTGGGAGCGCCACGTAGTATAAGAAATTTGATAGGCCTCCGCTAAAAACATATTATGTATCATTATAAAAAATGCATTAAATTAGGTTAATGAGGAATATATATAAAAGTCGTGTTAGTTACACTATTTATAACTCAAGAACGGCTGTAGTGATATGAATGAAAATTGGCGGAGAGATAGATTAGAACCAGAAGATGAATTACCTATGTACATAGGATATTTACTACTGTTCGGTCGAAAAAAATACTTAATAAACTCCAATATCTGGTTATTTAAAACCTCTAGGGTGGTATAAAGTTCGCCCGGTCTAAAAACTAGTAATTAAAATAGGAAGTTTTTTTTGTCGATTATGACCAATAAATACATTATTATACATACATATTTGTAAACAATTTTTATTATATTTTGAGTATTCAAGTAAGGCGAATTTGTCACACAGATAGGACCAATACATTATCTTTCAAAGCTGGGATCGTATCCTTTATTAACAACATGTTCTGTGAGGCAGACCCTGGCTAAATCTGGGAAGCTGCCAGGAAAAAGATTAGTTCAATTATGAAATAAGCGATTTTTTGTTCAGATTAAGTCAACCACTACTTTTTGGCTAGTATAGATTTTTCTTTTTTGCCTTTATAATAATTTGTTTAAATTTATAGAAATATATGTAACATCATTAATACAGCCACGGGCAAAAGTATTAGGCACCCTACAGTAAGACAAGTTTTAGGGTGTTTTAGCATAGCGAGTCTGAATAAAACTGCATTTATGATTACAATGGTTTATTTTAAGAAAATAATTAATATTTTGTAGGTCCACCTTTTGACTTAATAACCGCAGCCACTCTTTTTGGCATTGACTCTACCAGCCTGAAACATTCTTCTCTTGATATATTTTTCCATTCCTGCTGTAACGCGGCCAATAGAGCTTGTTTATTGCTAATCGAGTGCCTGCGGATATTTTTCTTTAAAATGGACCAAATATGCTCAATCGGGTTGAGGTCTGGTGATTGTGGTGGCCAGTCCAAAAGATCAATATGATTTTCAGCAAACCACTTCATGGTATGCGCGGACTTGTGGCAGGTGGCGTTGTCTTGCTGAAATTTCAGGCCATCGGTGTTTGTATCACCGAAAATTTGCGTTATCGACGTTGCTAGTGCTGTTTCCAGAACTTCAGTGTATTTAACGCTATTCATTCGTCCCTCACACAACACCATTTCGCCCACTCCGTCGGCAGCCATGCAGCCCCAGATCATTATTGAGCCTCCACCATGCTTAACAGTGGGAACCACACATTCTCGGTTGTATTCTTCGCCAACCCTTCGCCTAACATAAGTCACACCGGGTGTTCCAAACACCTATGCCAAAGGAAAAAAACACATTTAGTTTCAAAGTTATTATTTTTCTTGCAGTACGTTATTTTAAAAACATTTATGTGTTTTAATATTGTACATAAAATAAATAACAATACCTCAAAGTTAGATTCGTCTGACCACAGTATGTTGGACCAATCTTCCACTGACCAATCTCTATGTTTGAGTGCCCACTCCAACCGATTTTTCTTATTGTGTTCTGACAGCCACGGCTTCTTCCTTGCTTTACATCCTTTTAATCCAGCTTTAAGAAGTCTTCTTCTCACAGTATAAACACTCACTGAGCTGCCTTTTGCCTCAGATAATGCTGCAGCGAGCTCTGAAGCAGTTTTTTTCCTGTTTTGTAGAGACTGCCTAATCAACAATCGATCTTCCCGTTCAGTAGTAACTTTTTTTCTGCCTGTTCTTGGTCTATTTTCATGGGTGCCAGTCTCTTTGAAGCGATTTATAGCATATTGAACTGCACATCGCGAGCACTTCACTTCTCGGGCTATTTTAACCTGAGACATGCCTTGTTCATGTAAAATCTTAATTCTTAGACGCTGTTCAGCACTAAGTTCAGATTTTTTCGGCATGATTAACACGTTAAATGTTAGTCTTTAGAATTGTGATAGGAATAGTTGCGTAGAAGACGTGTATGTTCACTGCAAGCACTGATAACACACTATAACCCGAAACGCAAAAAAAGCAAATTCGAAGAAACACCGCTTAGGAGCACACCTGGATGTCATAAATATTTTCTTTTATCTTAATTTGGTTAAAAATTGCTGCTAATACAATAGCTAAACCATAAAACACACACTTGACCGCAATATAATGAGATAGTGACTAACAATAGGGGTGCCTAATACTTTTGCACGCAGCTGTATATACATATAGCAAGATATATAATTTTTAATACGAAAATCTCATTATTTCAAGTTTGATCTATCCACTACGTAGGATATTTTGTCATATTCTTATTTTTATATCTTCGCACATTAAAGTATTGACGTAGGTCATTGAATCAGAAATAAGTTTAATATGTGAGGTACATAGTTTTATAAAAAATATGTTTCTTAAATGTTTCTCATATATATATTAAATACCATTTTTAATAAAACTACTTTAGAAGCATTGTATAGGACGCGTCTACAAAAATCTTTATCGAAAAAAAAAATATATAATTTAAGTAATTTGCATCTATCATTAAAATATTCAATTTACAATAAAAGCCATATAATTTTTCAATGAAATCTCCATATATCATCATCAGTCTATCAGAGCCCACTGCTGAGCCTCTTCTCACATGGAGAAGGTTTGAGCATTAATCACCACGCTTGCTCAAGACGGATTGGCTATTTCAAACTTATAATTAGATATTATAAGTCCAGGTTTCCCCACGATGTATGTAGTGTATTAAAATAAACTGGTATTAAAAAATCATGCCTTATCAACAAGTTTACAACCTTGACACAAACTCGTTCCAACTGCGTGAAAAATCAATAATTTTAAAACGCAGTAGCATATTGTGGTTTTTGTTTTAACATAACAAGTACGTATCATGATCTATATATAGATATACATATATAAAAGATATATTAAACTAGAAGACCTGGTAAACTTCGTATCGCCCTATAATCAAGAAATATCTATTACGTTTTTTTATTTATATTTTTGGAGTTTACCTGTAAGTCATAAATCTCCGTGTTTTGAAGTGCGACAGAATGATTGACATATTAGTTAGTTGTCAAATCTAATGTCCAAAAAACGTTTGTATGGGAAATAGAAAAGGGCTTTTTTTATGGTTTTCCCAGTAATGAATCAATTTTTTTTAGATTTTATACTTTCCCTGAATCTCGACGAACATTTCAAGACTAAGATACATCCGTTCAGCTGTTCTCGAGTTTTAGCGAGACTAAGGAACAGCAATCCATTTTTATACATATAGAAGATTACTTAATTATATGTTTCCGTGATACTATGTTTATTTATAACAGTTGTTTACACATACTATATGTTCGTGATGGTATGTAAATTATTTTTTGCTGATCAGAAATATTTTTAATATAACATATATGGAGATTTATCAACATGATTGTTCAGAGTCGTATGTACTTTATAATAGTATTTAGACATCACTGACTGATGAAGGAAAACATCGTGAGGACTTATATCAAATTATAAGTTTGTAATCACCAACCCGTCTTGAGCAAGCGTGGTGATTAATGCTCAAACCTTCTCCATGTGAGAAGAGGCTCAGCAGAGGGCATAAATAAGCTGATGATGATGATGATATACATATAATAGTATTTTAAGAATGATTGAATGAATCGCTGCGGGGCCATATCTCACGGGATGGTACAGTGGTGATTCGCGTATGTGGGGCTCAACCGATCAACTAACTAATTTACATATGATTTAATTAATTATTATTATTATTATTATTATTATATTGAGAATTTATGTATTGTTATTTTTGTTGACATTTTTATGTATTATTATTATTAATTTTGTGAATGAGTCATTGTTGCTTGATGGTATAAATAAATAAATAAATAAATATATGGACAACGTAACTTGTGAAAACTTTCAAAAGATAATAAAATGTACTTACATTCAATACTATATTGATTGTTATATATCATGACTAAAGAGAGAATACTAGTTTAAAAATGCAGACCCGATTTTGATAAAATTCACCATTCATACAGCTTATACATGAGAAAAGGACGTTCCTATTTTCTAGTACTAGAACATCTAAATGAAAATTGATAATATATTTAGAAGATTTTTTTATACAGGGTGACTGGTGAATTACTATCAATATTTAAGGAGAATACTCGGTACATGATTCTCATTCGAATTTTGTAAAAAAAATAGGTACTTAATTTTTGACAAAATTTCCGTATAAATAAATAAAGTGTGGACACGTTCCAAGTGTGGACGCGTGCGGCGGCGTGCTGATACAACACCACGCCGCCGCACGCGCGTGTGTGTGTATACCTAATCTGTAGGGTGTTCACACGATGCGTAATTAATTACATAACCTTTGGTTAACTTTACTCACAAGTTTGTTAATATTTATGTTATATTAATTTTTATTTTGTCATATATGATCGTCAAATATCACGTCCTCAAGTATCGATAGTCATTCACCAGTCACCCTGTATAAACTTAATAATAAAAAACCTCTATATTATTATAGAAAAAATTCACTAGTATGAGAAAAAAAAAATGTATACAAAATAAGTAATTACCAAAGAATAAATAAATCTTTTGTTCTTTTACAATTAATTTTATTTCCATACATTTTTCCTGTTATCGATGTATACGTTTTTTTATATATAATGTAGTATATAACTGAGAATTCTTGTTATTTACTTCACATAATGTAAATGTGAATTAATCAATGGTGTTTGAATATACGAATAATTAATTAGTTTGAACTTAAAGTATTTTTCCTATTTGTTTAAAGTCCTGTGACTTTTTATATAAAATTTTTACAAACATATATATTTAGTTTCTTATGTATTTTGTTCATTATCCTTTCTTATCAACTACAAGAATTGCACGTGTTATTCCCTACTCATATTATAAATGCGAAAGTAACTCTGTCTGTCTGTCTGTCTGTTACGCTTTCACGTCTAAACCACTAAACTGATTTTAATGAAATTTGGTACAGAGATAGAGTTGACTTTGAGAAAGAACATACTTAGGATAGTTTTTTATCCCAGACTTTTGAAAGGTTCTCTTGGAAACGCGATATAACCGAACTCCACGCGGGCGAAGCTGCGGGCGGAAAGCTAGTTTTTAATATAAGAAAGGAAAATATATATATTTGTATTACTTTTATACAATATATATTATTATATAAAATGTATATAGCTGGTATATATATATCGCAAAAAAAAAACATTCGGTAGAATAACAAAACTATAAAATCACACCTGTATTTTTTTTGTTAAAAACAGGAAAAAGCAATTTAACAATTTTATAAAGTCACCCAAATTCGCAATTTGCGTTTTAAAATCAAGGCCAAGTTTTGTTTGTATCGTTTTTTATTTCAAACGATTATTCTTTACAATGGACAGCAATAAACCTTTTTATGATCACACTGACGCGAATTTGGGTGTTTTTTAAGGATTCCAACCAAAAAATATATCTTTGTTATGGAATTTTTTCCAGTTTTGCGACAATAGATTTTTTGCTGTCTTTTATATGGTGAAAACTGGCGGATTTAGTTCTGAATGGACAATAGGTAGTGATCCAAGGTTACCAGGGATTTAGTAGAAAAAGAAAACAGAAAAACATGTACATGACAATATTTTTGTCTACCTATGGGACTTAGCATTTTGTTAGACTTTACATAAATGATATATGTATATAAAACAAAGTCGTGTTAGTTACACTATTTATAACTCAAAAACGGCTGTAGGGATATGGGTGAACATTGGAGGAGAGATAGATTAGAACAAGGAGACGGACATAGGATATTTAATGCTGTTCGATCGAAAAAGAAAACGTAATAAATTCCAATATTTTGTTATTTACGGCCACTAAATCGGAACAGAGTTCACCCGGTCAGATATACATATATTACTAATAAAGAAATTAACTTCCTAAATTAAATTCCTGGCCCGGGCAAGTACTAATGTGATTTTTCCGAATCATAATTATGTACTTTCTAAGAGTATTTAGACATCACTGATTAATATTGATTCCCAAAAGAGGGTTGATGTCAGGCAGGCGGCCGGTCGTAAAAACAATTAGCCAAAACTATTCACAACATGTACGGCAGACCCTGGCTATAGCTGGGAAATTGTCAGGTAGAAGAAGAAAGAAATTAACGCAGACGAAGTTATGGCCAAAAAACTTGACGGCTTTTTGATAGCTTTTAAAATATCATTCAATTTAGCTGTCAAGCACATTTTCCATTACTCCTGCACACTCTCATGCTGTAGGTACATACCTGATTCTCTTAAAGTCCAAGTCTGACGGGTCCACAGTCTTCCAAGCTCCATGTAGGTAGTTCCTGCAGATTCTGCCAGCCACCTCTCTCATCTCCTCTTCAGTCCCGCACATTTGTAATTTCTAGACAAAAAATATACAATTTTATTCGCCACCAAGTTCTGTCTACTACGAAGCAAATTATCTTAAAGTCCTAATATTAAAGAAGATTATCTTTCAATATATTTTTATTACTATTTTACTACTTGCACGTATAATCCATCTTGGTCTTTTGTGATTAGATATCAAAAGTTCAAAGTATGCTTTGGTATTCAGAAACTTATAAAACGTAATCCTTTTATCTGACTACTACGAAAAAATGCCTTTTTTAGGCCCATAAAGGTAATTTCGTTGCTAATTGAGATAATAACGTTATCAGTAAGTATTGTTGATGAAAATTTGAGACAAAAATCCTTTTAAAACCTAAATATCTATAAAATTATTTGAGTATGAGTCATTAGTTCGTGTCTAGGAAACAATAGATTTATATAGAGTTGCACACATACAAACAAATCCGGTATAAAGAGGTTTATTTTCTGTGAAGATAACTGTTCTTAACAGTATGAGGTCATGTAAATATTATTAAATAATGTTCTAACTTATACTTAATGCACTGAAATGATAAACAAATTGATCATAGAATTTATTAATATATACATCTCGTCTTAATGATAACGGTTGATGAAAAGTAATACAAACGTCGGGAGTATGTAGTTAAAATAATAAAATTCTCGTAGTAATACGAATAATATTAGTTTCATTTAAATGAATACTCACGAAAGTATTAAATCTTATTATTTTTTCTATTTTTTATGAATAAACTAGAATGTATTCCACTTCCAAACATTTACCTTACCTATAGATTAATTTTTAAGTTTGTTATTGTTAAAATAAAATTCATATAATTAAGACTAAAAAAGAGGATGTCCAAAACGATGTCGGGAACAAAAAAGAGTTTAAAAATTTTATATTCGAATCAAACTGAAAAATAACTGACGTAGCAGGAAAAGTCTCAAAATGGAATTAATTTTGTTTTTTTATTGAGACTATACAAATGGTTTTTTGTCAAAAAAATTCAATATTTTTTAGAGTATCATGGCACACTTCGATCTTATCACCCAAAACAAGCTATTGACTGATTATAAAGCTTAAAAACGTTTAAATTAGAAGGTCAAAGATTAGTGATTTAACGACGTAGAGACAAGATAGTAACAATTATCGTATATATACTATTATTAGGCTGGCTTAATGTAACCTTTTGAAGAGCTTGTTTAATTATTTAGGCAGCTGCCCTGCCTAAAGCTGAGAAATTGCCAGGAAGAAGAAGAAGCTAGTTTAAGGGTGTGTTATAACGAACAAAGAAATAAACTGATATTTAACCAAGGTTTGAATACTTCATGAGAATCAAAGGAATGACAAAAAATGGCCCAAGCGATGGAAATTATCATCTATTCTTTTAGATCACAGTTGTAAAGTAACCGAAACTTCGATAATATGTAGTTTTAGTAGTAGAAAAGATTAGTTTTTTAGCAAAAATCTGCTATAATTTGTATTGGTATCAAAAAAATTCAATGTTTTAAGTAAAGTCGATATTTTTCCGTATGGTAGTTTCCATGGTAAAAACCTTGGAAGTTAGGTATTTCTTTATCTCGGATTAATTTAATTACTACATTATATTGTGGGATCATTGTTATCTGAATGATAAGTCTGATTGCTGTGGAATGGAAATTTGTAACGCGTGCCAAGGATTTAAAATATTATTATAGATTTTCAATGATAAGAGTTTTAAGGGCGCGGGTTCGATCCTGGCCCTGACAAGTACCAATATGATTTTTCCGAGTCATATGTACTTAGACATCACTGATTAATGCATTCCCAAAGAGGGTTGATGTCAGACAGGCGGCTGGTCGTAAAAACAATTAGCCAAAACTATTCGCAACATGTAAGGCAGACCCTGGCTGAAGATGGGAAATTGCTAGGAAGAAGAAGAAGTTTTCTAGTTTGGAGTGGACTGACGACCTGAAGAAGGTAGCTCGAGGGTACTGAATGCAGAAGGTGGAACCGGGTATTGGGGAGCAAATTAGGAAAGGCCTATGTCCAGCAGTGGACCAAGAGTAGCTAAATGATGATGATGATGAAAATAATTACACGCATTTTTGATCATAATTACCCTAAACTTCTACATTTTATTAATTCATTGAATTATACAAACATAACATTAGCATGCATGGATTGGCTTGAGTATTCCATACAATTAATTAACATTAATCAAGTATATATAAATCACTATTAGAAAAACCGTTTTATCTTTTACTACGTATTTGTTTTCAACATTCAAGGCTATTTAAGGGCGTGAGTAAACAAGATATGACGAAAAAAATATTCCACAACCTACTTCATATATGATAAACGTAATTAAAACAAATAAAAACATATATAAAAATAATTATATTGAAATATGTCTACCAAAAACATACGAGATAGAAACTTTGATAGCACGATATACAATTAAAAATAAATTTATAATACAAGTCAAATATTCCCAAAGAGAGTTGATGTCAGGCAGGCGGCCGGTCGTGAAAACAATTAGCCAAAACTATTCACAACATGTAAGGCAGACCCTGGATATAGCTGGGAAATTGCCAGGTAGAAGAAGAAGGATACAAATCAAATATAAAACTTAAGTACTTAATAACTAAACTAAAAAAACTAACTCATTATTTGACTCAAAATATACTAGAGATTTTTTAAATTCATTTTTACTCAAATATCCCGGAACGATGCTACAATTTTACGTAAATAACAATCAAATAATTAAAATGTCCCAACAATTTGTGCCAAAGACCGATCAAAGAGGAGTTTAAGAAGGCAGACCCTGGCTAAAGCTGGGAAATTGCCAGGAAGAAGAAGAATTAAAATGTCCAAACAAAAGTATAACAAATTCTAAAAATAGTAAACCTATGAATATTTAAAGACATACAAAGACACGATGACAAATATTCCGACCTTTGAAATAATCAATAATCCGATCTCATTAAAATTGAAAAACTTAAACTACTTATAGAAAAAAAACCATTATAATATACGTATGTTTGTTAAACTTAAACTCAAAAACTACTAAACTGATTTCGATGAAACTTTACTATAATATAGATTATATACAAGAATAGCATATAGACTTTAATTTAAAATTCAACTCTATGTAATTCCTTATGCAAGATAGTAATAGTATGTAGTATGCTTCTGTTACATAGACGATGGATATCACTAGCGATTGCTTGAAAAAACTTTTAATACATAATAAATTTCTCCAATCACAATTCCGAAGTCCAAACGGAGGAATACGCGGGGCAATATTAGTGTTATAAATAGATGTATGCGCTACGTACTATAAAGAACGAATTGTCATCAGCCTATCAGAGCCCACTGCTCAGCTGCCTCTTCTCACATGGAGAAGGTTGGAGCATTAATCACCACGCTTGCTCAACACGGGTTGGTGATTTCAAACTTATAATTTAATTATAAGACCATGTTTTCTCATGATGTTTTCCTTCATCAGTCAGTGGTGTCTAAATACTCTTAGAAAAAACATATAACTCGGAAAAATCGGGACGATTTATAAGTCTTTTCTTTTCCAGTAATTTTATATAATTTTCTTAATAAAATTAACAAATAATAATTATTACCACATATGACAGTAGATACATAACAATATGCTGGTTAAATTGAGAATATTTAACAGCATTAAAGCTATCCAAATCCATTAATTGGATATTGATCCTTAAATTTACAATCCATTAATATGGTTACGGATATAGAATGATGAATATAAATGATTGACTTTCTTTTATACCGACCAAAATAAAAAGAGGGTAATGTTTTACCAGTATGTGTGTTAGCATGTTCCTAATAATACATAGAAATAAATCTCAAGTAGTTAGAAAATAAAGAATTAAGATATTAAATAACTTGTTCAATTATTACAAGATTAATTGATTCATCATCAAAAATATATGTATTTCTTTTCCACATATGATATTTATATAATATTATCAATAATGAATTAAAACCTACACAATATAGTAATGAATTAAATATAGACAAGATTGATAAAATTTAAAATGATATGAAAAAAATTATAAATAAATTAGATCCCGAGTTACAGATATAATTGTTATATATTTAAATATATATATATATATATATATATATATATATATATATATATATATATATATATATCTCTACTTCACTTCAAGTGCACTAGAACCATTTATCTATCTTGACATGACATAATGTAGGTCATATACACCAACATAACACATGTACAAATATACATAATAGAAATATTATTATATATATTATAAAACATATGACATTAGATAGACAAAATCATTTAGCCTCGGTATGTTTAAAAGCTAGTGTTAAAACTAGTGCTCCATATATATGTATACTAGCTGACCCGGCAGACGTTGTTTTGCCATATAAAAATAGGGGTTAGTGATAAAAAAGTAACAATTATGGGTTGTATGTAGTTTTAAATGCTGCATTATAAAACAAAAATAAGGGAATATGTCTGATTCTCAGACATACTCAATATGCTCACAAAATTTCATCAAAATCATGAGAATTTTATATATAAGATATATGAATATATATATTAGATAATTCTATATTAAGTGATTACAACAAAAACATCATGTTTTTGATAAACACTTATCATTTAACTCTATGAATTGAGCCGTCAAGACTAAACAGTACTCGAATTTTATCAGATGTTTAAATTATCGGTCTACAGACACACCTTAATGATATTGATTTGATATATATATGTCTCCTATGTATAAGGGCCAATGTGCAAAATAAATATTGTTCAGTAGAGGCGTTTAAGTTTTCAATGTATCTTGTACATACAACTGATGCTGTGAAACTTTGTATAGCAACTATGACATACATGTACGACATTTAAGATTGATAATATCTTTTGTAAACCTAATAGTTTTTTAAATATATATATTTTTTATAATATACATTATGTTAAAAAGTGTGTTACTTATGCTTTTTACTGCAATAAAAACTAAGTCTAACCACATATAATACACATTTTTTTAAATGTATGTTGGAATACAGTATTATGAAGTGTTTAAAGCAAAAAAAATAATAATTGCTACATTAGCCCTTATACATAGAACCCATGGATATACAAGTTAAATTTCCCAACATCGTCTGGAAAATTTACAAAAATATAAATTGAATTGCATTATGTGCGACAATAATTGCAAATGTTTATTAAGATTGAATGTTAAATTGCAACTCACAGATTTTTATTAGAATTAATTGCTTACATCACTACAATGTTGTCGCCAATTAAAATGATATTTTTGTTTGTCCATTTAATTAAGAGATGCAATGATTTGTATTGTTTGAAGTAGTCATAATTATATTTAATTGTACAGAAGTATTCAAGATTGAATCAGGAAAGTATATATATAATTAGGTATAAAATTATATATATACTAGAAGAACCGGCGAACTTCGTATCCCCCTATAATTAAGAAATATCTGTTACGTTGTTTAATGTATATTTTTGGAGTTAACAACAACTAATAAATTGAAAATTATTTTAAAAAACATTGTCCAGTGGACAAAATTGTGAATCTAAACCATTCCCAGATCCCCTAGTACACACACAAAAAATTTCATCAAAATCGGTCCAGTCGTTCGCGAGAAGTTCAGTGACATACACACTCACAGAAGAATTATATATATAAAGATATTATCAATTCCTAGAATACTCAATGATTTAACTATTAAATGTGTTTGACTATTACTATAATCTTTTGTTTATATAGATAGTTAACTTATAAAAATTATCATAGTTTAGAAATTTTAATAATTATTGTGTATATTAACATTCAATGTTATTAGATTCAAAAAATATTAATATTAGTGAGACTGTAATCATCAACCCGTCTTGAGCGAGCGTGGTGATTAATGCTTAAACCTTCTCCATGTGAGAAGAGGCCTTTGCTCAGTAGTGAGCTCTGATAAGCTGATGACGACGACGTATATGACTGATAAAAGTTAGAATATTATAAAAATATACTATGTAATTAGTAATTAAATCATTTGTCCTAGAAATCATACTCATACACTCTCATGACGTTAAACACATAACAACATCGTCGTTAATAAAGTAATTATCATTTCACAGTAAATATTATTTACTTAGTTGACCCTAAGCACTTAGAATATAATAGCATATTATTTAAACTCAAGTTAAAATTGACTTTACGAAACTAGAAATATCGAGAATAATGATTTCTTTACATAGATTTCAATTAAATTATCATCAAAAACAAGGTTAAAGACATTTTTCGTAAAAAACATTTCGTTTTAAACTTCCGTATTTGATTATAGAGTAAAAGTTAATAAAAAAGATTATAACATACCCGCATACTTCTATTATTATCAAGGATTCTTCTGTAACAATTTCTTGCATTTACTAATATACTTTTTATATAGAAAGACATTAGATTTTACGAAATATTCTTTTCACTGGCAGATTTTTCTCGTATATCGATTTGACGTACACGGTACAACAGTGTTGCCGTAACGAAATTATGATATCAACTAAATTAATAAAATAATTTTTTTACAAGTTATACAAATATTTAAATATGAATTTAAGTGATCATAAAGTTTTAATTCTGCGAAAGATATGTATGGTTATAAATATAGATTTGTTTACTGATTTAATTCAATGATATTAATAGAACTTGGGCATAACATGTTTTTGTTCCATACATATCGTGTACCGTAAAATAAGGTAATAAATAATTATACGTGTTATTTTTATATTTATGAAATAATATAATATATTCAAATCTATTATTTAATGTAAATGAAATGAAACGAATCTAAGATAAAATCATAGTACTTCAAACAATAAGCTATAATTTCTTAAATTACATAAATTACGAAAAAATTACTGCAAATTATCTCCTACTACGTCATAGTGGTGCGATGTTTAAGATTTCTATATATCAAAACTATCTACATGTCGACTGAATATAAAATTACCTTAGCCATTGTCAAACAAACTCTTCGATATGAGCGATGCTGTACAAATATATATTTTTTTAATTCAATTGAAATTCACCGTCTTTGTAATACAACTATTACGTCCGCACACGTCAAGTTAAAAATATCAACTGATTCAAAGAGCGGGCTGGAAATTCAATAGAATGGTATATATGAATCACCGCGAGTGCGAGAGAGACGGTAGATACGAATCACGACGAGTGCGAGAGAGATGGAAGATACGAATTCGAACGATGTTAGCCGAACATCGAAGAAATGCAACCCCCGTTGTTCGACGTGTCTCTACGTCACTATAACACGACCAAATATAATAACGATAATTCGCGAAGTATTGCACATGTGTTCGGTATATTTAATTTAGTCGTATTAAATGGTCTGATATTTTTTTTAAATATCAACAAAGCAATGGCATGTAATTACACTACCTAGGTTACAATATGATTTTTAGTGACAAAATTAATATATTGTTTTGTAATAAGTATAATTGTTTTGTAATGTTTATCACTTGGAATTCATTGAGGCTATAGATAACTGATAAGTTATATTGGTACAAACTCTTTATCAGGGAAATAACTAAGAAATGTTTGTTGAGTCAATACTCAATGATGATAAAATCTTAAATAATAAATGACGAATTGTTTTTTAGTTTTAGACTAGATACACGGAATTACCGTCACAAAGGAATCTTACAGATAAGTAATACATCGTAAAGATACAAAATCAGTATCTAAACATGATTAAGTTATTTTTTATCACCAATACTTCGAGGTTATATCAAAATAAGATCAAAAACCCTTCTAGTAACTTTATTTGTCAACTTTTTATCCTGGAACGTTCCATGCATCGACATATACTAATGGACATGATTTAGAGATGAGAATTGTGGCACTCTGACAGAAAGAGAGGAAACGAAGTTTCGGTCTATCTTTATCTCTCAAAGTAGTACCGTACTTAAGACGAAAGAGATAGTGCTAGACCGAAACCATATGCCATCTCTCTCACTCTTTTCAAACAAAAAAATTACTGCAGATTATACGCGTACGGCGTGTCCATTAGTATATAACCGGTTCTTTGTGACAGATGCTTAATTTCCAAACGACGCAGGTTTTTTTCCACATCACAGTAATTATTTTGTTATTTATAACATATTTACGTTGTCTTAATTGACTTAGTGCTATATTAAAAATAAATATGAATAAACAATTTGATAATTCTATATATTTAAGGTTAGTTTGTATGTTTGATAATTGATAAATACAAGTTTAAAGTATTTTATGTATTTGGTTAGTTTAAAAGATGTTATTTTTAATATTTAACAAATATAATTGCTAGATGATAGCTGTCATGGTGGTATTAGTTTCGAAGTTTTTATTTATTGCATTGTTAAAAGATACTGAAATGAATTGGTTTTCATACCAAATAGGTCTTATTTGTCACCGATTTAACAAAAAGCTAGTAAATTAAAATATACATATTATTGTATTTATGTGAATGGCGTAAAACTAAATCCAGGAGTATGTAAAATGTATGGATTTAAATATTATCTGTTTTTTACTTTGTTAGGCTACCATAAAACCTATTTATTAAGAATTCTTCAATTTCAAATACGATGGCAACACAAGTAATCATAATAAAAAAAATGGTATCTTGAAAATTGATTGGTCTTTCTAATCCTTACTTGTTTATTACTTGACCATCTAATAATGAGACGAAACCTCTCATCATTCCATATATTCACGGTGCGTGTGTCGGGTCCATCGTTGTAGTGAGAGGAGCTTCAACAGAGACTGGGACTTGTGACCCAGGTGTAGGTTTAAGGGACCCCTATCTAACGTTAAACGATCACCTCCACCGTACAAGCTCCTCTCCCTACCCAATTTGAAAAGAACCTACCTACTAAAACGTTGTAACTACAAACTTGTTCTAAGCTCTCTAAAGGTAGATATGTAATATTTAGTACAAGTAACCTTAGCTTCTTGTTTCGTCTTATGTGATAGGCGCTGATTCTTCTGTATTATAGCCGAGTAATTGCTTTCGCGGACCTAAAACAAGAAAAATATTACGGGTAGAATAATATGATTGTTTTTTTTAGGGAAGAGGGGAAGGAAAGAGTGGGAAAGGGAGGGAAAAGGGAAAGGGCAACCGTCTCTCTCACTCATCAGAAACGCAGCCATTAAAGACTACTTCACGCCGATCTTCAGTGAGAGGGTGGTACTTCAACGATACAGACCATGTTCGAGCTGTAGTATGACCACAGCTAGGCTCTACCACCATAGAAATTTATGGCTTGAACTATTTTTGTGACTTAAAATTCGTTAAATTTCACATATCTTCTTTAGTCTACGTGTATGCTTATGTAAACTCAAACTCAAATAACTTTATTCAATATAGAAGCATTACACTTTCTTATTGATGGTCACTTGAGACACTACCACCGGTTCGGAAAAGAATGGGTCTTTTTTAGTCGAAAAAACTAAACTATCTATTGTAGATTTTTGTCAGTTTTAATCCCTTCAACTAAAATAGAGGACACTCGTGGATTAATCTTATCATTATAAATGTTTATTTACAAAGAAACCTAGTATTGCTTTATTTTGAACAGTTTTCCTTAGTCTTAGCTCAAGCCATGTAAAACCATGTTTGGTGTTACGAAAATGTAAGTCATATTCAATTTATAGTATACTAGAAGACCTGGCGAACTTCGTATCGCCCTATAATCACGAAATATCTATTACGTTTTTTTATTTATTTATGTTTTGAAGTGCGACAGAATGATTGACATATTAGTTAGTTGTCAAATCTAATGTCAAAAAAAACCTTTGTATGGGAAATAGAAAAGGGCTTTTTTATGGTTTTCCCAGTAATGAATCAATTTTTTTCAGCTTTTATACCTTCCCTGAACCTCCACAAACATTTCAAGACTAAGATAAGATAAATCCGTTCAGCTGTTCTCGAGTTTTAGCGAGACTAAGGAACAGCAATCCATTTTTATATATATAGAAGATAGAAGATAACTCATGAAGTTTTCTCTCTAAAATCGTTTTGATGAGAAGCCTTGACTATTTGTGATAATATTATTGTCATGTAATCGTGTTGGCCTAGTGGTTAAAGGCTTGCTTCTGATGTACGAAAAGAATTTTGGTACATAAATAAATAATTCTCATTTAAAAATAAACTTTGAATAAAATGTTCATTACATTACAACATGAGATAGATAAGAGAAAATATTTTGAAGAGCCATAGACAATATTAAAACTTTGTCTTTGGAAGTCATTATTAAAGATTTTTTATTCTTATAACAAGTGTTTTTATAATCTATTGTAATTCTGCTTCTACCTTAATGTTGTGAATAGTTTTGGCTAATTGTTTTTACGACCGGCCGCCTGCTTGAAATCAATCCTCTTTGGGAATGCATTAATCAGTGATGTCTAAATACTCTTATAAAGTACATATGACTCGGTAAATCACCTTGGTACTTGCCAGGATCGAACCCGCGCCCTCGTGCATGAGAGGCGGACCTTTTAACCACTAGGACACCACTGACTGACTTTGTAATTGTAATTATCATTATATATTTACCGCCAGCTTCTGCCTCTCTTCTAAGTTCTGTAATCTTTTTTCCATGAAGGTCATTCGTTTTTGGAAATCGTTGGCAATACATTGACAGAGATTCAGGGATTCCCCGAATATTCGTATTTTGCATTTTAAATCGTCGAAGTCGGATCTAAATCTATAAAAAAATAACAACAAATCTACTATTAATTATTGCAATGTGTTGAATTATAAGTGTTTAATAGATTCTGTTTTTAAAGTCTGCTGTAACTTTTAGACAATATTGTAAATTTAAAGTTTATAAAGGAACAAAAAAAGACTTAATTTTAAAATACCATTTTGTAGAAGATATAATTCCTCTGCAAAATAATATTTTCTCATCACATTTCGACTTTTGATCACGGTTGCTGTAAAGTAGCATAAACGTCGGAAGTATGTAGTTTAGAATCCAAAATAAAGTTGCGTAGTATAATCCGATAAATATTAGTTTAATTTAAATAATTCTTCTATAACATAATAAAAACTTTACTATAGACGTAGAATGACAGTTATAACCAAAAGTTATGTAATTAATTACGCATCGTGTGAACACCCTACAGATTAGGTATACACACACACACACACACACGCGTCCACACTTGGAACGTGTCCACACTTTATTTATTTATACGGAAATTTCGTCAAAAATTAAGTACCAATTTTTTTTACATAATTCGAATGAGAATCATGTACCGAGTATGCTCCTTAAATATTGATTGTAATTCACCAGTCACCCTGTATAGAAGTTTATATAACCTTGATATAGAAGTTGTTAATGATGCTTTGGATACAGATGTAGCAGCATCCGAAGCTGGTTCAGTGGTATAACGATTTGAATTGTTTGGACAATCACTGTTAGATGATTCGTCGTTGAGATGACAAACTCCACGTCGTCTATTTTTCATTATTAAACGCCTGATAAATAAACGCAAGAATGTGTTATTACTATGATAAAGATGAACCTTCTCATCATTCCATGTATTCATTTGCGTGTGTCGGGTCCATCGTTGTAGTGAGAGGAGCTTCAACAGTGACTGTGACTTGTGACCCAGGTGTAGGTTTAAGGGACCCCTATCTAACGTGCGTTAAACGCTCACCTCCACTGCCCAAGCTCCTCTCTCTATCTAACCCAATTTGAAAATAACTTATATTATTTGTTATATTTGTATTATAAAGTTTCTTGTTTACAACAATATAAATATATTGAGATTAAGTGATTTAATAGTTAATACATCTGTTCAATAGTATCTACATTGACGCCTATTAAAATGTTTGAGCAATGACGTAATTTAATTTATTGCTATAAACATTGTAAAATACTATTTAAATACGTATATTTAAATTTATTTTAAAAGAAATCAATCACTTACTGTTATATTTAATATTAAACTTTATAATTTTATATTTATATATTATTTGCTAGATTTTTTGCTAGATTTTGACAAGAATTTTGTGTTCAAAAAGATTGATAGAATGAACAGATGTTTGTTGTTCTAGATTTGTTACTATCGTCAAAAATGTTTTATATATATATGATCTATATAGTAATATATTAAAAAATACAAGTAAACAAATATACTAGAATTATTTGTAGGATTTATTTAATTTGTTTCTGTTACTAATATATTTTACTAATATTATCACTATTTTTATGCTATGGCTACATTCGTACTGGAATCGTGGAATATTTAAATAATGTCAACCTTTTTGTTTGATGATTTATAATCTAGAATAATGCGTGGAGACACGAAGGAGTTTGTAGAATGAAATATAGGCGTTTATTTAATAATAATTAATATTTATTTTTCATAACAACTCGTTATACTTTTACCAGCAAATATTTTCATTTAGAACATACTTAATTTCAGTTGTATTCACACTTCGTGCTGTGTATTTTGTTACTCAGTTCGTAATATTTTGTGTAACAAAGTATTTCTTTGACATATTTAAATTTTATAAGAGTTTTATTCACCGTATCGTTGTTGTAGAAAAGAAAATTATGATCACTGTACCTAATATTTCTTAATATAATAGTAGGCTTAGCCGCAGCTTTAAAATAACAAATAAGTTATCCCATGAATGGGTTGGTAGACATTTTGTTAAAAGTGAAAAATTATACTTTTGACTTGTCAGAAATATACATGTTTTACTAATCTGAACTATAAGACGTAACCTCTCATCATTCCATGTATTCACAGTACGTGTGTCGGGTCCATCGTTGTAGTGAGAGGAGCTTCAACAGTGACTGTGACTTGTGACCCAGGTGTAGGTTTAATATATATAGAGAGACGAAACCTCTCATCATTCATGTATTCACGGTGCGTGTGTCGGGTCCATCGTTGTAGTGAGAGGAGCTTCAACAGTGACTGGGACTTGTGACCCAGGTGTAGGTTTAAGGAGTATATTGTTTCATCGAAGTATGCAGGAAATAGTATTATTTTATAAATTACATATGCTAAATGTAAAGTAGTCAGTGGTGGCCTAGTGGTTAAGGGGCCCGCCTCTCGTTGCCGAGGGCGCGGGTTCAAACCTGGCAAGTACCAATGTGATTTTTCGAAGTCATATGTACTATCTGAGAGTATTTAGACATCACTGACATACGGTGAAGGAAAAACATCGTGAGGAAACCTGGACTTATAATTTCACAATTATAAGTTTGAAATCACCAACCCGTCTTGAGCAAGCGTGGTGATTAATGCTCAAACCTTCTCCATGTGAGAAAGAGGCCTTGCTCAGCAGTGGGCTCTGATAGGCTGATGAGAGAGAGAAATGTAAAGTAGGTGATTTTTTTTATTAATTATTATGGCATCACTAGGCAGTGGCGGCGTAAGGCGTGGGCGACGTGGGCAACCGCCTACGGCCTCGCGGTACAAAGGGCCTCGCGCCTCAAAAAATTTTAAAGCGAGAATAAAAAAATCTTGTTCTTCTTCCTGGCAATTTCCCAGCTCTAGGCAGGGTCTGCCTTACATGTTGTGATTAGTTTTGGCTATTTGTTTTTACGACCAGTCGACTGCCTGACATCAACCCTCTTTGGGAATCAGAATTAATTAAACCTATTTTAATAAGAATAGTGTGTTCAGTGTTTTAATAATATTTAGCGAATAAATAGATAGTGTTTGAGTATATTGATTGCCCCCGAAAACAGTGGCGTTTTTTAATTGTTTTTTGTTTTTTTGCATTACATCGGTACCTGTACTCGTCTATTTTACATAAAGTAAAAAATATTTAATTGGTAATAATTATGTAACGCAGTAATTCCCCCCGCAGGCGACTGTCGCTGACAGATCCGGGGTACACCGACATAGCGGCCGATGGCTTTTGCGGTGGTTTTAGTGAGTAGGGGCCTGCCCAGGCCGAGCCTCACACATCCCTTCCGGCCCCACCAAGGCAGGTTGGACGGCTCGTAAAAAGAGTTTCCACTACGTCATCAAAAAAAAAAACGCAGTAATTACTTGTATAGAAAATACGCTTTTTTATATCTTTTGAAGGAAACCAAAGCTTTAAGGGTAAAAAACCTATCTACGTTTAAGTTTTTAAAACTAGCAGGTAGTAAGAGCTTTAAGTTGCCATAAAATAGGGCCTCGTGAAATCTGTCTTGCCCACATCAAATTTAGGTCTTGCCCCGCCACTGTCACTAGGAGAGGTAAATATATAATGAACTAAAGTTTTTGACAAATGAAGGCGTCGTCTAAATTATTTTTAATAATTTTACATATTATCAGATTATAAAGAAGTTTTAGAAGTATTGAGGATACTTATGAAGTTAGGGAATATTTTTTTTAACTTTATATCGAAAAACAATAAAAATAGTTAATTTTTTTATCTGTTGCTTAGCTGACGAATTAAATTGACAGGAGTGACAGTTTATAAGTTGTCATGTCAAATAAAATGCAGTGATTATATAAAGAAAGTACGTTTTATTTAATCTTAATATTAGAATTACAAAATATCAATATATAAAATATTGACTAAATACTTATTTTTTACATAATCTGTATATCAGTTTTTTTCATATATATAAAAATACTTATTTTACTAACCAATTCACATTAGATGGTCGACCGTATTGGTCATTGGATCAATATGGTCAAAAATCTAATTATTATAAAAAAAAATAATAAAATTATAAATATTTTTTTTTAGGTAGAGCCTGTTTTTAAAGTTTTTACCGAATATCTACCTATTATTGACTTGACTTTTATTATTGGTCGCCATTTCGTTTTTCTGAACTAGGAACTGTTGTCGTTTTTGTACTGTCGTGGATGTTTTAATACAGATGTATGGCACTGGAAATTATGGACCAATATTCTCTCATTTGCCTTCTAGACATTTGCATTTGGCTGTGTGCTCGTGTTTACCAACTAATTCTGAAAAGGAGGGGTTGAATGTTACCCCTGGGGCTACGTATTGGGGGTTGGTCCCGCTGCCAGATGTTTCGTACCTAATGATCTGGGGTTTGGTTGTATAGGTAATAATTTTAGGCTTGGTTGTGTAAGTAATGATTTTGGGCTTGGTTGTGAATGTAAAGATTTCCGGTTTCGTTGTATACGTCACGATTTCCGGTTTAGTTGTGAATGTCACGTACTTCGGTTCGGTCTTGAACACCTTCTTCTCGGAATAGGTGGCGCTGAATCCGTTCGTGATCGGTTTGATTTCGCTGAAGTTGAACCCAGCCCCAAAACCAGACTGACTTGAGCTACCGCTTATCTTTTCCTGGAACTGGTTCACTTTACCCGCGAACTGTCCCTGACTGACGAGCCCTTGGTTGCCAGATAACTGGCCTTGACTCTGCCCAAAACCGAATTGACCTTTCCCGAAATTGAAGCTATTAACTCCGCTAATAAGTCCTGATGATCCAGAGACTGCTCCTGACGAAACTGAAGCTACAGCACCAGTTCTTATCGAACCAGAGCTAGATGAACCTTTCACTCCTTTGACGCCAGAGAATCCTTTCACACCACCCTTCACACCATTTATTTGGCCAGTGTATATCCCAGTAGTGACCTTAGTGATGGTACTGTATTGAGCGAATCTGACGCTCTCTATGAGCCCAATAGCCCATTGGTACCATTCCAAATCGAATCTATAGAAACCAGCCACTTGGTTACCAACTTGACATCCTGAAAAGAACATTATATTCAGTAATTAAGTTCAAACACAATTTTTTTTATGGTAAAGGGGGCAATTGAGCAGACGGCCTTTCTGATGGAGATAGTACCGTCACCTATGGACATCCACAACATTTCTTATGTCGCGGATAAATACATATGTACGCAAAGATATTCAAAGTAGATATGAATCTTCTAACTTAAATCAGTCCAGGTATAAGCTGGAACGTACTGTGCATTGTTATTAAGCTGTAATATTAATTACTATGGCCTACTAACCTGAATCCCAGGAATAAACCCCTCTGAAGGTGTAATGACCGTCACCAGTTGTGCAAGCCAGGGCGCTGCCAATGTCAACCTGGAAATAAAACATAAAAAATAGTTTTAATACTAGTTTAGGTAACTATTTGGTCTCATAATATAAATATCTGAATATCATTAGCTTGCTGATTTTTTGTCAGTATTTGGTCTTTTTTTCTTGCTTTTGTGATCATTATTTAAATTCTGTTTTGAACTAAGTTTATTTTTTGGGAAACAAGCAGTATTACAACCATACAATTGAAATAATTCATACAAAAATACATAAACCAATTAAGTTTCCACCGATTAAAACTTCAAGTTACTTGTTATTAGCATTTTTATTTGTTTTTAGTCCATCACGAATATATTTTTAGTCCATCATCTTGTTCTATTGTAACTTAAGTTATGAAGTTATTAACTGGCATAGAATATCTTACCCTGCAAATGTTATTAAGAGGATTGGAAGGCTGGCCGCAGACGCAGCTGTCTTCATCATACAACTCCAAGAGGTGAGGATATTCTGATGATAATTTGGACTGGCATTCACCAGGGCTGATGAGGGAGACATTCATGCTGTGCATTATACTTCCTTGGAGATGAGCTGGAAAATAAAGAAGATGCTATTATAGGTTCAGACAAAACACTAACAATTGATCTAGATTAAAAAAGGAGAAATGAGATTGGAAACAGTTTATGGGGCCATAAGCATCAAAAAATACAAAAAAAAACAGCTATCGATAATTTTTAGATATATGTATTATATTTTTTGTGAATTTAGGTATAAAAAATATAATTAAAATCTTTTATAAATCTTACAAGTGTAACTAAAACTTGAAGGTTTATTTATAGGCTAAAAGATTAATGTTTTCTAACTACCATAGAAAAGTCGTTTAGTTTTTATGAATGAATTATTAATAATCTTGTTTATATTAAATCATATACATCCAAATAAGTATATTTCAATGCTACTTCACTATCATTGACACGTCTTAAAATATCTTGAGTCAATTAATAAGAATTACGAAATAGTTTAAAGGTTGAGAAAAAATATTGAAAGAAAATATTTTGTACTAGCTTTCCGCCAGCAGCTTCACCCGCGTGAAGTTCGGTTACATCGCGTTTCAAAGAGAAATTTCCAAAAGTCTGTGATAAAAACTATCCTATGTTCTTTCTCAAGGTCAACTCTATCTCTATACCAAATGTCATTAAAATCAGTTCAGTGGTTTAGGCGTGAAAGCGTAACAGACAGACAGACAGAGTTACTTTCGCATTTACATTAGTAGGGATAACAAAATCCATATTAAATTGAAGCTAGACGAATTCTTCATATATTTCTATACTCAAATATATATTTATTTTTTAAGAGATAAAATTATCGGAGAATATTTTTTATATAAAACAGGTTTTTCTTGATTTTATACGCTTTAAGGAGGTTAAAGGAGGTATACTGTTATATAAACAGTGAGAAGATATTGTTATTGCTGACTACAAGGATAACATACTTTATTTACACAAATATTTATAGCTATTGAAGAATGTCGCATAGTAAAAATGAGAAGAAAAAATACGAATTCGGTGGAAGGTTACGTTCCATTATAAATTATTCCATTAATATTAAGTTTATCAATAATTTTATAGATTTTTATATAAGATAAGAAATCTCTAACTCCTTAATAGATAGTAGATTTTTTTTTGGGTTTTTAATAAATAATAAAAAAGTAAAAGTCAGTGGTGGTCTAGTGGTTAAAAGGCCCGCCTCTCATACATGAGGGCGCGGGTTCGATCCCAGGATCAAGTACCCTGGCAAGTACCAATGTGATTTTTCCGAGTCATATGTACTTTCTAAGAGTATTTAGACATCACTGATTAATGCATTCCCATAGAGGGTTGATGTCAGGCAGGCGGCCGGTCGTAAAATGATTTAGCCAAAACTATTAACAACATGTAAGGCAGACTATGGCTAAAGCTGGGAATTTGCCAGGTAGAAGAGAGAGAAGGTTTTATAAAAATAAATTTACAATTCTGCATAAAAGCGTAATTGCTATTAAAAATTTATAGGCGTTATAAAATATTGTTTATAGATTATCCAATACGTGCATTAAAATTCAATTATCATATACAAAGATTCTTTATTAACGTACCAGATACTTGACCCCTATAACAGCTTGAATATTCGCAATATTATTTTAAATATTCAAGCTGTTACTTAACTGTAATCTTGTATACAATTCCTTATTACACGGTTTTCAAGATTATGCTACATTACGATGAGTGTTGTTAGTAAAAGGCAATTAATTTTTGTTATTTAATGCAAAAAATGAATATTTTAAAAAGATATGTAAATAAAAGAGATGAGAAATGGAGTTAATATATTTTTTGGTTTACTGAATATTAAAAGAAGCCGGGTTATAAACAATCGAATAGTTTTTTAATTATTTAACATATTGAGAACATTATGTTTTCGAATTTCTACTCCATATATAAAAAATTGGTAAAGATAGACGTAAATATACTTCATAGTACCAGGTAATTAAATCAGTAATATAGTTATGCTAATTTTAGCCCGTGACTTCGTCCGCGTGACTTTTGGAATTTTGGACAGAAATGTATAAACAAATAATCAACAGGTACCGACATCTATACTCAGTTACGTGACATACATATACAACTGTTACGTCGTTTCACCAAAAAGTACAGGTAAATCCGGGAAAAATAATAATCTATATCTCATTCTGAGGTCTAAACTACATTATTGGAAAGTATCATGAAAATCTGTAGAGTAGTTTTCGGTTGTAAGAACGACAAACATGCCTACATATGATTTCGTATTTTTAGGTAAGGTTACCATAAGTTTGACCCTCTCTCCATATATATATATGTATATATATAATTTCTTTTTATATCTTTAATATTACTCCCTGCCCGTCGTTTAGTTCTTAAAAATGTTACACAATTGACAGACGATGACCAAAACCAGTTATTGTACAGTCATAAGAAAAAAGCATATATATGAAGACTCGAAGTTTTTTTTTGTTTATAATTCAAAATTATTAAACCACTATCTAATATATTCATAGTTCGGCTGTCTGTATGCAAATCATTCTGTTTGAGAATCCAGATGTTAGCCTTGAAAAATAATTTTATTTGAAGAGCTTCGCTGTGTAGTTTTTTATGTATTCATATATTAGAAAATTTAGTTATCTAGATTTATACTACGGATTTGAACCTGCGATCTTTATGATTTATAGTTATTTTATTTATTAAATAGTGCTTAATTTTGAATTAAACTTTGTAAAGAATACAATGAATTTTGTTGAATCTCTACTAATATTATAAATGCGAAAGTAACTCTGTCTGTCTGTCTGTTACGCTTTCACGCCTAAACCACTGAACTGATTTTAATGAAATTTGGTATGGAGATAGAGTTGACCTCGAGAAAGAACATAGGATAGTTTTTATCCCAGATTTTTGAAAGGTTCTCTTGGAATTTTTTTATTTTAATAGCCTTGAATCATAATACATATATATAAGTAAATATTTTCTCTTCAACACATTTAGTAATATGTATCACTTACTTATGTGATTTCTGATGAAATTACGTTTTACAAGTCATCGTTTACTTATTTAATATTGATTATTTGACGTGTGAAATAAGAAACACTAACATTCTTCTCCCTGGCATTTTCCCAGCGTTAGCCAGGGTCTGCCTAATGTTGTGAATAGTTTTGGCTTATTGTTTTTATTACCGGCCGTGTGCCTGACATCAGCCCTCTTTGGGAATAAATACTACAGTAATACTATCATTACACCCCGGTTTCTCATGGGTTTAAATAATCATGTGATTTCTTATAGTTTTATTATTGTTTATTTCAACCTCTTGGTTTCATAGCTTTAACACTTTAGCTTCGTATTTATACACAAACATACATTCATATTGGCTCGCGTATTTTGACATTTACGAGTAAATTCTACTCTTTCAATGTTAAATTTAACCGATTTAAAAAAAAGAGTGTCCCGATTTGTATGTCTGTGGAATAACTTCTATTGATTAATGAATTGAATTTAATAATTCTTTTGGCAGCTAATAGTTGATATTTCAATATTTATTTCATTAAAACTACTTATGTATTTAAATAATTAGTTTTTTGATATCGACTTTTAACATATATATGATTGAAATAACATATGTATATGTATATATGTATGTATGTAGAATATTAAATACTGTGTATGAGAGAAAATAAATACTTTCAAATATCTTTAGTTTGTAGTAATTATCAAAATTATCAACAAATTGTATGCATTCCCTATTTAGGTATTATATGGAAATATTTGGTAATATTTACTCTAGTCTGTTCTATAAAATATATATATAAAAAGATGTTTATTGTATCTATTATATATAAAAATTATCAAGGATTCTTTCTACATATAAATCCTCATAATTTTCTTTTATTTAAATCTATTTTTCTTCTAAAATCTCTTCAGAATCCGTTCAGACCGATCCTCTTTAAGTGTCATATGTTTTTCAATAAGTTTGTCTCCGCGATGTTACCAGTCAACATCTCGACAATGACCCACAAACACTACCAACCGCTTTCGTTTTCTTCACACTATCAATTTTACGTTACATACAGACAAAATACAATATTTATATTGATTATTATATATAACTAGCTTCCCGCCGACAGCTTCGCCCGCGTGGAGTTATTATATCGCGTTTCCAAGAGAACCTTTCAAAAGCCTGGGATAAAAACTATCCTATGTTCTTTCTCAAGGTAAACTCTATGTCTGTACCAAATTTCATTAAAATCAGTTCAGTGGTTTAGGCGTGAAAGCGTAACAGGCAGACAGATAGAGTTACTTTCGCATTCATAATATTACCACGAGAATATTCTCCATACTCTTGTTTAAATATTTAATAGTCTTTATAAAGAAATAATTATACTTTTTTTTCAGTTGATTGGTATGAATTATTAAAAATATCTTTGTTTTAAATTTTTTGTTACATTATTGACGACGATTTAGCATACATATGTAGTGTTTTCAATGACGTAACGATTGCGTGCGTATGTAAATATTAGTTGAATTTTATTCTTGCAATAACCTACAACACACATTCTGTATATAATTACTATGATTTTCTTATATCTTCTACCTGGCAATTTCCCAGCTTTAGCCAGGGTCTACCTTACATGTTGTGAATAGTTTTGGCTAATTGTTTTTATGAGCGGCGCCTGCCTGACATCAATCCTATTTGGGAATTCAGTAATCAGTTATGTCTAAATACTCTTATAAAGTACATATGACTCGGATAAATCACATTGGTACTTGCCAGGATTGAATCCGCGCCCTCATGCATGAGAGGCGGGCCTTTTAACCACTAGGCCACCACTGACTTATGTTTTTTCTTATATATTAACAATAATTTATATATGTTCTACCTTTCCAATTCCACGTATTTAGAAATTTGGATCTACCTTATCAGTAGGTCTGAGAATCGGCTACTATCTATTTTTCATACCCCTAAGTGTAAAGGTTTTGCACCCTTAAATTTTTTGATGAAATTTTTATTTTTTTATAATCTGGCGTTAATACATACATACAAACATATTTTTTATATGTCAAAACAACGTTTGCCGGGTCAGCTAGTTTCTAATAAGTCTGTCATTTCATCTTATTAATAAAATGTCGAATAGAAAATAATTTTGATATATCAAAACTATTGTTTTGTATTGATATTAAATTGGCTTACCTTGTAGTACTTGTTTTCCCCATCCAGTAACAATGCACTCTCCAACGCCGTTGTAATATTTGTCCAAACTGTCATCTTTATCTGGTAAACATATGGGATAGATGTTTTTGGCGAATCTCAAGTTCTCAGCGAGTACCAGGATAGCAGCGTCATAGTGGAGGTTGCTGTGTTTGTAGAGAGGATGACGAAGGATCGTTTTGACTTGAACAATTTGGAATGGTAGAGGTTCGTCGTCTATTCCAAGCTTCCATTCACCTCCTTTGATAAGCACGTTCTTTGCGTCCAAGCTGTGAAAACAAAACCCATATTTAACGAGATATAAGCAAGAATACATCATCATCAGCCTATTATAGCCCACTGATGAGCTGCCTTATCACATGGAGAAGGTTTGAGCATTAATCACCACGCTTGTAAGACGGGTTGGTGATTTCAAACTTATATTTTATAATAGTCCAGGTTTCCTCATGATGTTTTCCTTCATCTGTTAGTGTCTAAAGTAAGAAAGTAAAAGACTCGGAATAATCACATTGGTACTTGCCAGGATCGAACCAGCGCCCTCAAAAAAGTAATGTATACAGTTATCTGGTAAACTCACCCTTCAACGCAGGCAGCTGAAGTCACAACCACATCAGGTCTGGTGATCACACCACCACACAGCAGACTTCTGTTAGTTTGCAGCAATACCATCGCCTGCCAGGGAATCTCAGCGAAATCGGCTTCCAAGTCATTGCGATTGCCATAAGGACGTTGACCCTGGACCAAAATATCACGATAAAGAAAGCTATACAACAAAAATAGCTGTAGATTTAGAAAAATCCCTACTAAAATATATTTCTTCTTCTTCCTGGAAATTTCCCAGCTTTAGCCTTTCCTGCCTACTATTCATACTTATATTATGATATTATAAATGCGAAAGTAACTCTGTCTTTCTGATACGCTTTCACGCCTAAACCACTGAACTGATTTTAATGAAATTTGGTACAGACAGAGTTGACCTTGAGAAAGAACATAGGATAGTTTTTATCAAAGACTTTTGAAATGTTCTCTTGGAAACGCGATATTGCCGAACTCGACGCGGGCGCAAAGCTAGTTTTATATAAATTAGGTTTATTTTCGAAACAATTTTATTTATCACTAATATATAAAGTTGTATAATTTAAATGTAAATGTATGTCCTTCGAAATATTTTTATCCTCATCAAGCTGATAGAAAATTATTGAACTCGTAGCTTTTTTTAATGGAAATTATATTTCAAACGAAGTCAGATTTAAAACCTAGCTTGAACTAAAAATATAATGAAATTTGACATTCAAGATGTGAACTACGCAACAGAGCTAAGTTTGTTAATATCTGATTAACGATTGAACATATAAAATTAATTGAGTTGTTTGTATTTATATGTACATATTACTAAATCGATAATACCAAGCATATGCAAATATTATGCATGCATCATCAATATATGTCCAAAATATAAATGCAAATACAGCGTCTAAAGAAATTTCGTAATACCTGTTTGATATTTTTTCTAATATATTTTATTTTCCGTTGTGAAAGATCACAATTTTATCTTAATTAATATTAGATTTAAAGCGTCGAGTTTTATTTTATAATATATATGTATATATATTATGTGTTATTGCTTTTAACGTGCGTTGATAATGACATCACTAATCACTTCTAAAATGGTACGATCTTTTTAATACTATTAAATCTATATTAATAAACTAGTTTTTGCCCGCGACTTATTAAATTTCTACTGTTTCAATCGAACAGAATGATTGACATATTAGTTAGTTGTCAAGTCTAATGTCAAAAAATCGTTTGTATGGGAAATAGAAAAGGGCTGTTTTTAGGATTTTCCGCAATTATTCCAATTTTTCTCATCTTTTAAACCTTCCCTGGACTTCCAGAAGTATTTCAAGACTAAAATTAGCCAAATCGGTTCAGCCGTTCTCGAGTTTTAGCGAGACTATGGAACAGCAATCCATTTTTATATATATAGAAGATGTATCATACATTTTTATGCCAGCAAATAATCACTTTTTTATAATATACATACTAGTTATTGACCGCGACTTCGTATGCGTTGATTTTGGCATTAGTAATATATGTATAGCTGACCGGGCAAACTCTATTCCGCTCTAGAGGTCATAAATAACCAGATATTAGGATTTATAAGTTTTTTCGATCGAACAGAATTGAATATCCTATGTCCGACTCCTGGTTCTAATCTATCTCACCTCCAATTTTCAACCATACCCGTACAGTCGTTCTTTAGTTATAAATAGTGTAATTAACATGACTTTCTTTTATATATATGTATGTATGTATATAGATATTACAAATTTCTCTTACATTAAGAACTCCACATTGCCCGCCGGCGTTGTACTCTTGAAGGAAAACCCTTTGCACTGATTCTCCGTACTCATTTTCAACTCCATACCCGCCTCCCTGGGTCACAGCGAAGCCTTGCCCCTGGCGTACTCCTTGACCGAATCCTTGTGACACTCTCTGCCCCTGGCCCTGTGTAACAATCTCTCCCTCCCCTTGAGAAACCAACTGCCCTTCCTTTTTAGACACGAGTTGGGCTTGAGCTCTACGGATTTGATCGAAGCCGTTAGTGATGTATGCTCCTTCACCCTGATTGATCAGAGCTCCGCCTCCTTGAGAGACAATTTGTCCCTGGCCATTAGTAAGGAAACCGCCTTGACCTGGACGGATTGCTTGCCCGAATCCTTGGGATACAAGAGTTCCTTGACCCTGGGATACAAGAGCACCCTGGCCTTGAGAGACCAGCTGTCCTTCACCCTGCGATACATATTGTCCCTGTCCCTGGTTCACTAGCTGTCCTTGACCCTGGCTTACAAACTGGCCTTGTCCTTGCGTAGATATTAGTCCCTCTCCCTGATTGACCAGGACTCCTTGCCCCTGACGGACCCCCTGGCCGAATCCTTGCGACACAACCGTGCCTTGTCCTTGTCGCACTCCCTGCCCGAAGCCTTGAGACGCAACCACGCCGCTTCCCTGACGGATGCCAGTACCAAATCCTTGACTGATACCGCTGCCTTGACCTCTTGATACGATTGACCCCTGTCCTTGACTCACGAACTGTCCCTGACCGTTCACTCCTTGGGCTCCAATTGCTGCTACTCCTAAACCATTTTGTCCAGCGCCGAATTGAGTTTGGACACCCTATTAAACAATAAAATGTTATGACTAAGGTGTCACTGCATACTTCGTATAAGTATGCTAAATAAAACAGCATTCCTCATTGTCTTTGAGATGTAAATATATTAACCACAGCTTATTTAAGAAATAAGGCATTAAACCGTGTTGACACGTTGACTTGCAAATGAAATAGTATTTCCTAATTATCATTAAATAAGAATATACGAGTATCTTTCAAAATTATGAAGAGGTGATTCTGTGTTATAAAATAAAGTTATCTCATATTAAAGATATTTTTTAACAACTTTGAACTTTGTGGTATTCTATGAAGGAACACTCACTTGTCCTTGGATGCCAATCTGTCCTTGGCCGTATTGCCCAACTCCTTGCCTGACTCCTTGTCCCACTCCCTGGGAAACAATTTGCCCTTGACCTTGGGACACTATTTGCCCTTGACCCTGACCGACGAACTGTCCCTGTTGTTTATTGATTCCAATTCCCGCTGCCTGATTCACCAAGAAACCTTGTCCCTTGCTAACTTGACCCCTGTTTACCACTTGACCTTGGCCCCTGGATGCAACTCCTCCCTGTCCTTGGGACACAAACGCCCCTTGACCCTTCTGTGCAACCTGTCCTTGGGTGAAAGCTGTGTTGATTGCAGATCCAGATCCAATTTGACCTTTTGGGATAAAATTATAATTGATAAGTCGCAGCCAATTAACGATGAAGATAGAATCAGCTGATTGATGGCGTTTATGTTAAACTAATTAGGGCTTAAGTAATCAAAAATACGTTGATGTGGTAATTTTTAAATTTTGGATATAATTTACAATTTAAATCGACGTCAACACAAACTGTTGAGTAAACTGACCTTGTCCTATGATGCCAAGCTGTCCTTGTCCACCTGATGTGAATTGTCCCTGTCCCCCTTGAGAGAATTGTCCCAGACCACCCTTGCTGTATTGTCCTTGACCTCCAATAGGGAATTGACCTTGACCTCTCTGATTCAAAGGAGTCACAGTGGAGCCAAATCCAGGAGAAACTTGGTTGGGCCCAAATGGTGTAGGAGTGGGTTTAGTCCTAGTGAAAAAAATACTTTATAGCTCGTGAAACTTACATACATAGTCCATCCAGGATAAAAATACTTACAGGAATGCTGGTGATATGACTGAACCGGTGACAGGAGGGCGAACAGTGACACTGGGTCTTATGTTGTTTGGACTAACTCTGCTGTCAGGTACGTATTTACCGTCGTTACCTCCAAATACCCCGGGTACCCATTTACCCAATTGATTAACAGGCCAGGGGTCAGTGTAATACGGATCACGGCAGCATTTACCAATACGTCCAGATTCCAAATCACGGCAATCCTACACAAGAATCCTCAATCATTTATATGCCTACATTATCGTAAAATTTGTATAAGTCTCTACAAACATATCAATACAAATATTGGCTCTACGCATTGATTTTTTTGCACTAAACACTATATTTAACTATGTGCTCACAATACGTTGTATTATCGTAAAACTTAGACGTGACTCAGATTTGGATTACAAATCAATCATTGTATGCATTGATACATTAAATAAAGGACTACACATGCAAATGTATTGAATAAATCTTGTTGACTTGTGAAGGAAAATTGTTTTATTGAGAACATAAATAGTTGTAGGATGTTCAATGTCGTATAATCATTTTTAAGGACATTTTTATTAAACATTAGGTTTTCTTTGTTTATTTATTAATATTTTTAGTTAATAATCTTCACGGTTTTTTCTTTGAATGGAATTATAGTTGTATAAAGTATTACTTACCGTGAGTGGTACTCTATAAGCTTCTTGATCTCTGGTCAAAAATACAGAAACGTTTGAAATGACTCCTTCAGCTGTACAGAATTCGATTGCAGTACACTTCAGAGCGGCCGCACATCCAGCGGGAATTTCACCTGATAAAGTAAGTTATGACTTATTGAGGAGAAACACAAGTAAGCAATGACCTACGAAGTCAAAAGTGGAAGAGATGACTTATTAAGGCTCAAACATAAATAAAACTAACAAAAAAAGAAAAATTGGGCATGAAATCATCCCTACTAATATTATAAATGGGAAAGTAACTCTGCCTGTCTGTCTGTTACGCTTTCACGCCTAAACCACTGAACTGATTTTAATGAAAATTGGTACAGAGAGAGAGTTGACTTCGAGAAAGAACGTAGGATAGTTTTTATCCAAGATTTTTGAAAGATTCTCTTTGAAACGCGATATAACCGAACGCCACGAGGGCGGAAAGCTAGTTGTAAATATAAATAAATCAGAATTAAAATAAAAAAGCAACCAAGAAACAATCTGAACCAATAGGTATTAGTAATATTTTGTTAAAATTCTATGTTTTCCTCCACTCACCACTAACCTACACTTAAACAATAGCAAACATTGTTCACATAAATAATTCATTAAGTCTGGGAATCCGGAACTTATTTTAGTAATAAATGTTGGCATCAATTAAATAAACGGTCGAGTCGCATTACTTGACAGTAAATAATCATTTCAATCACATGATACATCGCAAATCGAATAAGTATTGCTTTATCCCTACTAATATTATAAATGCGAGAGTAACTCTGTCTGTCTGTTACGCTTTCACACCTAAACCACTGAACTGATTTTAATGAAATTTGGTACAGAGATGTAGTTGACTTTGATAAAGAACATAGGATAGTTTTTATCCCAGACTTTTGAAATTTTCTCTTGGAAATGCGATATAACCGAACTCCACGCGGGCGTACAATAGTATAGTTATAAAGTTATAAAGTAAGTCTTGATTTACTTACTCGGTGCAGGCACAGGGGTGGGTCTGGGTGTGGGGAATCTATTTTCATCCAGGATTAATGAACCATCTTGATAATCAGGTTTAGGCACGATGGTTTCTCTGTTGTTAGTTGGTTCCCCGATCGGTGGTAAGTAACCAGGGGCAGAGGTTGACGAAATAGGGGGTAGATAGGTAGGTTTAGGGGTTGTGAATGGTCTAGGAGTCGTGATTATTGTGGGGGTGGGGAAAACAGTTGTGGAGACTACATTGGTACCACTGCCTGTAACGTCGATGGGTGGGAGGTAGGGGATACCAGGTTTTAGACCGGAACCGACAGCACCAGGTCGATAGACACCAGCAGCGTCACTGCCAGCGGTCAACGAATCAGCGTCGATGAAGTTCGTTTGGCTCGTGGATTTGAAGCCATTTGCTCCAAATCTGGACGTCGTAGGTGCGAGAGTCGAGCCAAATCCAGATCCGAATTTAGTGGATTCGACAGCAATGCCTCTGTTAGCAGATCCGAAAGAAGCGCCGCTCGAAAAAGTGCCCTTAGCACCAAATCCGTTTGAGAATCCACTTTGGGTTGTCTGACTGCCAAATCCTCCTACGGAACCAACTTGACCAGCGAAGAGACCAGAACCCTGGCTGATTGATCCAATGCCTCCTTGAGAAGTCTCGATCCTGCAGCAGATTTCCGTGGCAAGGTTGCAGTATTGCTTCTGTGAAATAAAAATCAATTAAATATGTATGATAATAAAATTATTTTTGTTTCTGCGTATAACACAACTTCAAGAGCAGAAAAATTTAAACGAAACTTGGATGACCTTTAGCTTAGAATTTATCATTGATATATAATATATAGGTAATAATTATAAAAGATTTTCTGCCCAATTACACTACAAATACTTAGTCCAAGTATTAGATGCCAATTAGTTAACTCATATCTTCGGCCGTGTGAAATCAATGCTTCAATATCGAAGCATCATGACATATTTTAAGAATGTAATTACTGACATTTTAACGAACCAAGTCTTCTAGGACATGGATTTTTATGATATTTTATTTATAAGACCTTTACAAGATGCTTATGTAAAAAAATATTCGCAAAGTATTACAAGAATTCTTTGTTAATGAAGCTATGCGTTAGATAACACATAATAAGTCTACGCTTAAATTTTAGAGGTCAAAAATAGAAAAGGCAGTACGTATAATACTCTTTCTTAATTACGAAACATAATTAAATATGTATTATAATCGAATTCTTGAAAAACATCGTATTTTTTTGTTCACCCCATCTGACCTTTAAGTTACTGAATCCAAGTTCAAAACTATGTCTTCTCAATATATTTCGTCACAGCTACATCGATGCAATAATGATCCTATAGCCTTAATATTAAGGTACAATTTCCGTTTGCAACACCCAGAGGTCGCAAGACGACATAAATTTTTGTCTTACGTACATACTTGTTTACAGAAATACATTCGAGCGGGTAATTGCTTGAATAAATATATTATTTGTTTTATACTATGTTAACCAGTTATGTTTAAAACGAGGAAAATATATAGTATTGAAAAGAAAACTCAGTAAAAGCGAAAATATTGTGATATAAAATAAAAATCAGTGTCGACAATAAGAAACTTTGCTTGCTAAAGGTATCCTTTTTTAAATAGCATAAATCCGTATATACTCTTCTCTAAATCCCAAAATTCGTTCATATAATAGAAATTACATATAAATAAATAAACTACTACAATAAATGAGAAAAACAGTTCACAATTGATGAAATTAAAAGCATTTTACTCAGATAAAGTGACAATGTATTTCACATACAGATTTTATTATTCAAAGCGCCATCTATTAGTGAAATTAGCAATCATAAAACTGTTAAAGTTAGTAACTTAAAATATTTGACTTGTACAATAAAAAGATTGCTCAGATATGGTGTAATATTATGATGAAACAGTTTTGTACACGACTACTCAGTGCGTAACATCCCAAGTATCGGGTAGCAGGTTCAGTGTTCGTGTTGTGCAACCATTATTAATACCAATTGTTTGTATTGATAAGCAATATTTAAGTTATTTCAGGCAATATCGATATCATTAAATCATTTTAAATCGATGTTAATTGATATTAAATTAATCGAATAATCGTTGCTTTATCTGACACTAAACACTAATATAACCTATGTCTTGTTAAAATTATTTATTGTTGTATGCTAATGTTGCCAGGTATAAAATTTATTGGCTGGATTTTATATAAAATACAATATCAGTCTAGACTTTGAATATAATATATAAATAATATATTATTCTTGTTTATGATTCACAAACTATTAAAAATGAAAAGAAATCTTTGGATTTATAGATTTAAAAACCAATATACACGTATATAATAATACATACAAAGCATCGTTCAACAATAGTGTCAATAAACAAGTAATTAATTTTAAATAAATATCTATATAAGGTATTTAGTGAATTCACGAATGCACAGATAATGCCATCCATTATATTTCCCAATATATAAATCAAATGTTTAACCTTTTTGGTGGGTTGCGTATGCTAAGTCACTCTGACAGCTGTCAAATAGTTGTAGTAGCTTCGGTATAAGTATGGGAAGGATCGTAATGACTATCAATAAATAATGATGTTTGGCATCTGATTATCCAATGACAATTTAAATATATATAAATATATTATTCATATTAATTTCTAGTATAAAATAATTTTATATTTTTACTATCCGTAAATAAATTTTACAAATTAAATAATATTAGTTCAACTACAAATAAATAAAGTCGTTTTACAAATTAAATAATATTAGTGAACTACAATTAAATAAAGTCAGAATTATTTCCAAACTAATTTTTTAGTTCGTTTTTGAATGTTAATTTTATCTGTTACTTTTTTGTGTCAAAAAATCAAGCAGATGTTTTAAGACAATAAAAGAATATTTTTATTTAACCCAGATCATATCCTGTTTGTATTATATTGAAATTTTAAGCAGCGTCTTTCACAATATTAATCTTGAATAATCCTTTAGTAAATTCTAGGCATGAAGCAGATTTAAATGTAAAAGGATTTCATTTGATTCGGACGTGACAATAGGATTACTGTTGATCTTTTGTAACCTATATATATAATTGTATACATGAAAATTAAACTTGGGCCTGCATGTACCAGTGAAATGTTTTTTACTAGTTTTTGTACGCGGCTTCGTCTGCATTAATTTCGAAATTAGTAATATATATATAGCTGACCGGGCGAACTCTATTCCGCTCTAGAGGCCGTAAATAACCAGATATTGCAATATTTTAAGATTTTTTCTTTAAATCGAACAGAATTAAGTCTCCTTGTTCTAATCTACCTCTCTACCAATTTTTAACCATATCTCTACAGTCGTTCCTGAGTTATAAATAGTGTAACTAACACGACTTTATTTTATATATATTGTAAATCTTCTCTTTTTAGTCTCAATGGTAAGTTATGGTGGTAATATTCTTTGGGGTCACACAATAAACAAATTATTGTACACGCAAGCGACCTTACATTACGACAGGGTGTTAAAATATTGCGATGTATTTTTTATATTACGTATCGATGCTCACGTAATACTTACGACAAAACTTACAGTATGACGTGTTTTAATTGTTGGTACTAAGGATAATAATAAACGATTTTATATAAAGACTAGAAGACCTGGCGAACTTCGTACCGCCCTACGAGTATAATCAAGAAATATCTATTACGTTTTTTATTTATATTTTTGGAGTTTACCTATTAAAGCCATAAATCTCCGTGTTTTGAAGTGCGACAGAATGATTGACATATTACCTAGTTGTCAAATCTAATGTCAAAAAAAAGGTATGTATGCGAAATAGAAAAGGGCTGTTTTTATGATTTTCCCAGTAATGAATCATTTTTTTTCAGCTTTAATACCTTCCCTGAACCTCCACGAACATTTCAAGACTAAGATAAGATAAATCCGTTCAGCTGTTCTCGAGTTTTAGCGAGACTAAGGAACAGCAATCCATTTTTATATATATAGAAGATTATTGTGTATTTATTTTTGTATGGCTATCAAGTTATTGTGTATTTTATTTATATATAATGTATATTCATCTCAAAAACTTGTATTCACACATTTGTATCATGTTTTCACATAATAATTAAGTTTTTTAACGTAAAATAATTATCTCCAAGATAATGAAATATTGTTAAGATTACATGAACTTCATAAAAACTTTATTTATATACAGAAGTAAAAAAGTAACATGAAACGATTAAAATGGATCGCATCCGTGAGAATACTTCATTGTTTAATCTTTTAATATTGAAATAGATTACTATAAAAAAATAATTACTTATAAAGAAACTAGTTATTATTTTTTTATTTAAACCTATCATGAGTAGTTACTACATACGTAGCGTTAACAGTTTTCATTCATAACTTCTCACATTATAGTATTAACGTAGTATTGAATGAGAAACGTGAAACTATACGTATGTAGTGTGAAACTTATGGTAATGAAACTAATATTTTCGTATTACTACACGATTTTTATTTTTGATTATAAACTACATACTCCCGACATTTCAGTTACTTTACAGCAACCGTGATCATTAAGACGAGATTAAGTAGTAAATAAGAAAATATTAGTTTCATTTAAATGAATATTCGCGAAGATTTTAGATCTCATTATTTTAGTAATAATCTGAGCATTTTTTTTATTATATTGTATTAATATAATATTTTATTTCAATATCAAGTCGAAGTATTTCTGCTAGTTATGTTTGGAATCTTGGTATATTTTGCAAATGTCAACGTTTTTATTTATTGACATTTTTTATTTTAACCTAATTATCTTGTTGCCATGGCAACGAAATTATTTAAAATTTTCGCCACAAAAGCTAATTTCAAAGTCGAGATTTCATTATTTTAAATAAGTACTTTATTCATCCCTACTAATATTATACATGCGAAAGTAACTCTGTCTGTCTGTTTGTTACGCTTTCACGCCTAAACCACTGAATTGATTTTAATGAAATTTGGTACAGACATAGAGTTGAGCTCGAGAAAGTACATAGGATAGTTTTTATCCCAGACTTTTGTAAAGTTCTCTTGGAAACGCGATATAAGCGAACTCCACGCGGGCGAAGCTGCGGTCGGAAAGCTAGTATGTGAATAATTTGCATTTATTTCTACTTAAGTTAATATTGTTTTGTAAAAGTAAATTTTAATTACACGTAAAGCTTCTAAAGTGTGTGTGTTTGTGTGTTGTATAAGTTGTTTCGAGAGCTATTAAAATAACATTACAACAATGTCTTTGTACATTCAACAAAAACGTATGATTATTTATGTTTTGGTAAAATTCTCTAAAAATATTAATTTGTAAACAGGAATTTTTATAAAAATCACTAAGCAGATTGTGATAAAACTATTAGATTATTATTCTTAAATCTTCGCGATTTTTGAGATAGTATTATCTTTATATATTAAGATATATGCTTAATTTTTATTAACTTGTCTATTGGAGAAGAAACTACTTATATTCTGTATATCTCACAAGTACTTTTCAAGTTCACAAATATTATTTATATATAATATTTCTAATAATAGAAAAAGTATATAAAAGAAATATACAAGTCGGAAAATATGTGTATTATTTTAGTTATATAAAATATTTTTTTTCTGACCTTACATTACTTAAACCACGTCTTAACGGAATGAAACTCGTTCTTTGGGTCACAAGTTGAAACTTTTGAATTGCTATGAATATATTATTGTATTATATATATATATATATATATATATATATATATATATATATAGGTCAGGCAGACAATGGCTAATGCTGGGAAATTGCCAGAAAGAAGAAGAAGATATATATATAAAATATTTTGTATTTTAATAGATAGATAGCGTAGAAATTTAAAGTTAACCAATTTTAGTTTTTTTTAAGTATTATATAGAATTGTATGTATTCAGTACATAGGATTAAAACAATTTAAATATTATTTAATTTTAAACGTCATTTTTATAATTAAGTTTATACAAATAAAGTATATTTTTTAATATTTTGATTTAGAATATTTAACAGACCTCGCAAAGAAATTGACATTTCATTTTAATTCATAAAAATTATTAAATGAGTTAATAAAACGAAATCTTATTATATAATACTTTTTAAATTTAGGTTCTTGAGGTTTCAAAAAATATCTTAAATATTAAACACATTGTGCTTACCAATGTTTGTTTACTACATACTTATAGTTTCACGTTTCTCTATACGTTAATACTTTAATTGTCGATGCAGGCATTGGGAATACTTAATATTTTTCGTTAACCAACAGGACGTAAGTAATAGTTTTTGATACGTTAAACTTATAGTTTTTTCGTATAATTTAATATCTGGGATATATTATATACTAGGATAATTAACATAGAAGACAGTAATTTCGTAATTTTAAGTATTAAATGTAAGTATCCTAAAATAGATAAACGCTTAGAAACCATTCAATAGATACTATTTGCATCTAATCTATAATCTATAGATAAAAGATTCCTCTCAGGTAAGCGGGTATGATAATGAAATACACACACACACACACACACAAACACACACACACACACACATCCCTACTAATATTATAAATGCGAAAGTCACTCTGTCTGTCTGTTACGCTTTCACGTCTAAACCACTGTACCTACTGATTTTAATGAAATTTGGTACAGACATAGAGTTGACCTTGAGAAAGAACATAGGATAGTTTTTATCACAGACTTTTGAAAGGTTCTCTTGGAAACGCGATATAACCGAACTCCACGCGGGCGAAGCTGCGGGCGGAAAGCTAGTATATATATATATATATAAATAAAGTAAAATTTCGTTGTATTTAAATATTCCTTTCTTGTTGAAACTTTATACTATAGTAATATGTTGAAGTATTTATACGTGTTGAAATAACTCTTCAACAACAGATATTATTATACATAGTTAATAGAAGGTATAATATAAAATTTATATATATATATCTTTTTCTAGTTTTTATTTACATGGGAAGATTTGGTAAAAAAATTCGGGTGATACAAAGATACATTGACCCTTCGCATCCTGTTCAAAAACCTTGACATTTGGGGAACTTTGAATAGATGATTTGTATCTCATAACTCCTTGTTTGAAACAGCGACTGTTTTTGTTGTTTTATTTAGAAATATCCTTACCAACATATATATATATATATATGAATGAACGGGAGATGCTACGTATGTAGTAATCAAACATTGGTAAGCATAATGTGTTTAATATTTAAAATATTTGTTTTTTTGAAATATCTTAACACCAAAATTCAACACTATTGAGTGTTATATTGTCGAATACTTTGTGAGTTCTGTCAAATTTCTACAACTAATATACATATATGTATATAATCAGTAGTATCAGTCAGTTGTGGCGTAATGGTTAAAAGGCCCGCCTCTCATGCATGAGGACGCGGGTTTGATCTTGGCAATTACCAACGTCATTTTTCCTAGTCATATGTACTTTATAAGAGTATTTAGACATCACTGATTATGCATTCCCAAAGAGGGTTGATGTCAGGCAGGCGGTCGGTCGTAAAAAAAATTCGCCAAAACTATTCACAACATTTAAGGCAGACCCTGGCTAAAGAAAATGGAAATTGCCAGGTAGAAGAATCAGTAGTATATATGCTATATTTAAACATACTCTGACCGCAGATAAATCTATATATACAGGGTGACTGGTGAATTACTATCGATATTTGAGGACGTGATATTTGACGATCATATATGACAAAATAAAAATTAATATAACATAAATATTAATAAACTTCTAAGTAAAGTTAACCAAAAGTTATGTAATTAATTACGCATCGTGTGAACACCCTACAGATTAGGTATACACTGACACTCACACATACGCATGTCGTGACGTGGTGTTGTATCAACACGTCGCCGCACGCGTTCACACTTGAACACTTGGAACGTGTCAACACTTTACTTATTTATACGGAAATTTTGTCAAAAATTAAGTGCCTATTTTTTTTTACATAATTCGAATGAGAATCATGTACCGAGTATGCTCCTTAAATATTGATAGTAATTCACCAGTCACCCTGTATATAAAATCTATTCAACTATACAACGAAGTACTAAATAACAATTATTTCTATTGATGAATTTCCAAGAAGCTGATGAGACGGATGTCCGTGTTATGTTTTATAGAAATTGCAAAACAATGATTTATACAAACATACATACAAGGTAAAAAATATATAGGTATTTAATACCTTTACTATGCGAAATCATGGTCAAAAATTTAATTGATAGATTACGATGAAGCATTCTTAGTAAGCGTTTCATTGAAAATTTTGTGTTAAATTTTATAAATTACTTCAATCGAAAAGTAAATTTAAAGTTTTGAATTTAATATACCAATTATTAATATTGAGTTGTATCTTTATTTAAATTTAAATTTGAAGGTAATATGCATTAATTTAAAAGTTTTTCATATGTTAAACAATTATAGGTTCATTCGTAAATACTGTTAGAATTTTTGAGAGTTTTTTCTATAGACTATTGGCATCATAATAGTTGCAGATTTATTTGTGGATAAAGAAATGAGATCTCAGGATGTAACAAAGTCTCCAAGCATTGCCAAATTTTATTTAAAAACTAATTTTTATATCAAATATTTTTTTTATCAAATATATCTAAAAATTCGATTAATGTACTCAAAAGTACATATAAAATGTGGTTTAAAACACATTTATTGAAGTTAAAACAAAGATTTTGGTTTAAAAGAGAAAAAAATATTTTTTTCTATAATAACAACTATTCTTTAGTAAAAGTTTAACCAACATAACTTCACTGATGTTTTCGTGATTGCAATATCTTACTTGCAACATAATTTTACATGCAATAAATAATCAATAGAAATGAAATTTTTGACAGAAAATAATTGTGTGTGTAATGTAACCGCAATAAGTTTTTTTTCATTAAGCTGTCTATAACACAACACCATCTTTTCTGTAGTCGAGTAATCCTGACATTTAATGACAATTGGTTATTTTATTCGCAATAGTGTTTCAAAATTATTATTTGAAATGAAATTATATATTATTGTAAATATAAAATATGTAATACTTATTTAAGTTCTGATATTAAGTTGAAATTAAACTTGTTTACTATAATTTATTCTTCTTCTACCTAGCAATTTCCCAGCTTCAGCCAGGGTCTGCCTTACATGTTGTGAATAGTTTTGGCTAATTGTTTTTACGACCGGTCGCCTGCCCGACATCAACCCTCTTTGGGAATCAAAAATCAAATATTTTGACTACGTATAATCTACATAAAGATTATTCTTTTTCTTCTACCTGGCAATTTCCCAGCTATAGCCAGGGTCTTTTAGTGTATATATTTATAATTTATCATAAAGATTATATATCGTAAATCATGTTGGTTGGTATGGCGTGTTATTCCCTGTGTATCCGGTTGGCTATCTGTATGGTTTTTCCAAAAAAATAACAATAATCTTAATTGGATACAGGTTTAAAACTCCGTTAAATATTCCACTAACTGGTTTTCATGTGAATTTTTTTGTGTTTTATTGTTAAAAATATAAAATTTTATACGATTTTTATGTTTGATATCTATTAATTATAAATCCAAATTTATATAGATTTTTGTACGTTTTGTCATTTTATAAGTTCAAATATATTGTTATCTTGAAGTTTTTTTTAAATATTTTTTATATCTTTCAATACCGTGATGATGATTTATTATATTTTAAAGAAAGATTATATTTTTCCGATCGTTCATTACGTGTGGCCTTTTATAATTGACATTTAAAAATAAACAAGCTCGACCTCACATAATAACGTGTGTCGAGGTCGTCTATTATTTGACTATGGCTTTGTTAAAATGTTTAATTGACTATTTCATATTAGATAATAAATATAAAATATATATACGCTAGTTTTTGCCCGCGAATCCGTCAGCGTTAATTTCGGAATTAGTAATATATGTATAGCTGACCGGCCGAACTCTATTCCGTCTTAGAGGTCATAAATAACCAGATGTTGGAGTTTATTAAGTTTTTTCTTTTTCGATCATACAGAATTAAATATATCCTATGTCCGTCTCCTTGTTCTAAGCTATCTTTCCACCAATTTTCAACCATATCCCTAAAGTCGTTCTTGAGTTATAAATAGTGTAACTAATACGACTTTCTTTTATATATCCAGTGTCAGGCGAAAATGTAGACATTATTAAAGTAATGACGTATTTCTATAAGCGTTTTTCATAAGACATACTTTTAATAAAAACTAAGACCAATAATAGCTTTAAGAAATAAAATGAAACGCAGAATACTTTCAGATCTATAGCTATTTGATGAGAATTACAAAGTTTATTAATCTGAAAGTCAATTAAGATATCAATGAAAGTTTGGACTGACCTTTGTTTTAGCTTGAAGGACGGCCGCTGCGTTGGTGCTCACGACGCCGTTGTTGCATTGTGTTTTCAACACACAGGCGTATCCTAAACCGGAACAGGTCTGCTGCAACTCCCCAGCTGTGACACCAGAATCCAGGCCAAGATTTCCAGCATTCTGGAAGATTTCGTCGATGTTCTGTTGTGTCTGTTGTTGCTCGAAATCGAAGTCGCTCTTTTGGGCATTCTGAATCAAGTTCACATTAGCTCCAGAGCCAAAAGGTGCTGGGCTTGAACCACTGAAGCCAGATACTTTACTGCCAGCGAAACCAGAGTTGAACGCACCAGCCCCGAAGTTTGAAGCAGCGTTTTGTGCTCCATAACCTTGAAGTCCAGCTTGACCAGCTTTGCTAGATGCACTGAATGCTGATGATTCGAAAGCAGATGATTGGAAGGGATTTACTGAGCTGGCGTCACCAGAAAGACCAAGGTTTGAAAACTGTCCGTTTAAGAATGGGTTAGCTGATAGGTCCATGCCAGTGAATGCAGCGTTAGCGCCACTACCAGAGGAGAAACTTGACGATTTGCTGAATTTCTCAAAGCTGGCGCCATTAGCGCCACTGAATGGAGAGTCTTGGTTCATCCACCAGAAAGGTGAGTTGGCGCTTTTGAATAAATCGCTTCCGAAACCAGCGTGAAAATTAAACTCATTATTCACGTCGGAGGCTGCTGCTGCTTTGAAAGCATCTATGTCCCCAAAACGTTCTATCACTTTTCCGTCTTTGAGTTTCAAACCAGCACAGCCTTTATCGCTGGAACAGCCTTCGAAGGACTGTTGAGAGTGTACTTCCGCTCCTGGTAAAGATTGCAAAGCCGCTAATACTTCTTTGGGAGATTTAAGTCCTAGTTTAAGTGGGGTACATGTCGTACATCTTTCTGTTCTAGCTTGGGGCTTGGATTCTTCTGCTTCTACTATTGGTTCTTTGGATTGGGGTAATTCTTTCACGTCTTCGATGTTCTCTGGTAGTGCGTGTACGCACAGAAGCAAACACAGCGACACCACTGATAGCAGTGGCTTCATTTTGTTATCTGAAACAATAATCAGATCGTAAATAAAATGTTTTTTTTTTCTCCAAAGTTCTGATTTCTTAAACATATAAGTTTTATTATAAAATCTAAGACTTTCGCGAGTTTTATTCATTTAAATGAAACTAATATTTTTCGGATATACTACACTGAAACGTCGGTATTATGTAGTTACAAGTACTAATAAATTAAAAATTAATTAAAAAACATTGTCCAGCGGACGAAATTTTGAATCTAAACCATTCCCAGATCCCCTTGAACACACACAAAGAAATTCATCAAAATTGGTCCAGTCGTCTGAGAGAAGTTCAGTGACATAAACACTCACAGAAGAATTATATATATAAAGATTAACAAAATAAAGCACGTCTAGTATATCCTAAAAAATATTAGTTTCATTTAAATATAAGTTTTATCAAAAAGTTTAGCAAGCATTTATTGAAACTAAATATAGTAGCTATTTAAATATATAAAAGACCTTTTTATGTGAGGTTAAAATATATAAAATATGATAAAAATAAAAAAGTATGTATTAGAATTCGTTTTAATGTCAAGTGGTGTTTGAAAAAACGAAGAAATGCTATCAAGGGGTCATTTTTTATTTGTAATTTATTTAAATATTATACAATAAATAAATAATTTATCATAAACGAAGCATCAATAAAACGAAATGAAATTGATTTTCTGGCTTTTATTTGATAATTCATCCAATTAATATTTATTTACGATTTGAAACAAAAAGCGAAAAAAGTGATAAAAAAATTGTTTGTTCGTGTGAGTTAAATATTAAATTATATATAAGGAGATATTCTGTAAGGCAGGCTCTGGCTAAAGCTGGGAAATTGCCAGGTAGAAGAAAAAGATAAGCAAATGTTCTGTCAATGGGAAAAGTTTTCTGAATTTTGATTATTTAGATAAATATATATATATTAGTAAATATATATATATTAGTACATAAAAAATACATAGTACTTAAAAAATAAATATATATATATTAGTACATAAAATCGTATATATTATATATTATCATTTTAATCACATCTTTACACGTGATGCGAGTGGACCATTCCGATGCTTTTTTTTTGTCAAATTAATTTCTAAGGTTATACAAAACTTTTCAATAATTCAAGGTCGCATAATATTAATATAAAGTTTGTTGTAAAATAGACTTAATCACTTTAAAAATTAAGCTTCGATTTTGAACGTGTTTTCTTTCAGGATGTTTAAGAAAAAAAACTGAGGATCAAAAAATATTGTAAAGATGCGATTTCGATCATTATTACAATACAAATAAAGTTCAATTTTCTACTTAGCTTTTTTTATGATTTTTTTTTATCTTTTTTATACTACCCTCAAAAAAATAACTTTAAAATATTAAATTGACCTATAATATATTAATTGTTAAATGGAAAAAAAACCCAGTTAATATTATTATTAAAGTTTTCGTTAAGTTAAAAATTTAACCGACTTAAATAAAATATGTGATATGTTTTAAAAACAGTATTCTATATTATTATATATAATAATTTAACTGAATTCCCTTTTTAGTTATATTTAACTATTTTATTTAACTTTATAAGTATATGCTTAATCGTTTACCGCTTCTTGTAGTTAAGTGTTGTTAAGTGGGCGAAGATCCTAATATGTAGAGACATAAATAAATATAATGGCTGTGTTAATACAATATTATATAAACAGGTTAAATATTAATTTAAATTATATATTTAAACATATAACAAATATATGGAAAATTATGTCATTATTAGGCTTATATTTTATTAATTTAGATTATTTTTCGTATTTAAGTATTTTATAAAGCAATCATCATCATCAGTCTATCAGAGCCCACTGCTGAGCCTCTTCTCACATGGAGAAGGTTTGAACATTAATCACCACGCTCGCTCAAGACGGGTTGGTGATTTCAAACTTATAATTTGATAAGTCCATGTTTTCTTACGATGTATTCCTTCATCAGTCAGTGATGTCTAAATACTCTTATAAAGTACATATGACTTGAATCACATTGGTGCTTGCCAGGATCGAACCTGCGCCCTCATGCATGAGAGGCGGACCTTTAACCACTAGATCACCACATTTTACATATAACATACAAACAAACATATAAAATCATATAGTTTAAGTTGTGGGAAGGTTCTATGTACCGGTTCATAGTTATTAATAGGATTGACAAGCAAACCTTGACGCCCACACTAGTATGTGAAATGAGTCAATGGTCCTTTGTTACATACAGACTGTAACCGACTTAGAATAAGGTGAGTATTGTGTTTTAAAGATAAATTTACTTGTATATATATAGATATCTTCTTCTACCTGGCAATTTCCCAGCTATAGCCAGGGTCTGCCTTACATGTTGTGAATAGTTTTTGGCTATTTGTTTTTACGACCGGCCCGCCTGCCTGACATCAACCCTCTTTTGGGAATCAACATTAATCAGTGATGTCTAAATACTTTTAGAAAGTACATATGATTCGGAAAAATCACATTGGTACTTGCCCGGGCCAGGATCGAACCCGCGCCCTCGGCGACGAGAGGCGGGCCCTTTAACCACTGCGCCACCACTGACTGTATTGTATATATATAGATATACATAATGTAATTTATGTATATACAAGTAAAGTAAAGTTTTATATTAAGATTTCTCAAAAGGAGAGTTGATTTCAGGCAGGCAGCCGGTCGTAAAAAACAATTAGCCAAAACTATTCACAACATGTAAGGCCCTGGCTAAAGCTGGGAAATTGCCAGGTAGAAGGAGATATATTATATTAAGATAATTTAAATAAGTTATTTAAAAGTCATTTCTATTATTAGAAGATTATATATAATAAAAAAGGTGTAAAAGTTATGAGATATTTTTTGTTATCGAAGAAAAAAGGTATGTGAAACAACTTGAATAGTTGCTAGGTGAGTATTTGAATATAATGTGTTAAAATATCAAGTTTTTAGTATGTAGTATATATATATATATATATTTAGATGTATATATAGGTAGGAAAAAAGGTATTACTTATATCCAGTCTTTGTCTGCAAAATACCTTTAAATCTAGTCATAAAATCCCTACTAGTCCCTACTAATATTATAAATGCGAAAGTAACTTTCTGTCTTTCATACCTAACCCATTGAACTGATTTTAATGAAATTTGGTACAGACATAGAGTTGACCTTGAGAAAGAACATAGGATAGTTTTTATCCCAGACTTTTGAAAGGTTCTCTTGGAAACGCGATATAATAACTCCACGCGGGCGAAGCTGCGGGCGGAAATCTAGTATATGTATAAAGAAATGTTGAAATTAAACTAATATATTTGATTTTTATTTTTGATTATAAATTACATACTTTATACGCTTCGGTTACTTTACAGCAACCGTGATCATTAAGACGAGATGTGTTTTTATCATGTAAATAAAATCTTTAGTTAGTTAACACTAACTGCTTTTAACTGTAATCGTTTTAAACTATCATTTTAACTGTCAGATTAAACTTTATAAGAAGTCAGTGGTGGCTCAGTGGCTAAAGGGCCCGCCTCTCGTCGCCGAGGGCGCGGGTTCGATCCTGGCCCGGGCAAGTACCAATGTGATTTTTTCGTATCATATGTACTTTCTAAGAGTATTTAGACATCACTGATTAATGTTGATTCCCAAAAGAGGGTTGATGTCAGGCAGGCGGCCGGTCGTAAAAACAAATAGTCAAAAACTTTTCACAACATGTAAGACCCTGGCTATAGCTGGGAAATTGCCAGGTAGAAGATTAAACTTTATAAGAACCTTCGATCTATATTGACTGTTAAAATTATCCTCAAATTTTTTTGTTAACACACATCGATAATTGACGGAATTTTTTTCATTGAGTTTCCGGTGACGAAGGCTCTATAACCGGAAGTTAAATTTATCATCTAACATAAATATAATATTTCTAAGTTAACTTAAATTCATTCGTATTGGATGATGTAAAAAGTTAAAAATTGCATCAAAATTTGCTCAACAATAATGACTATTGGCGATAAAATAAATTTTGGTATTTTTTTTTATTAAGATATGTATCTTTTAAATGAAACTAATATTTTTCTTATTTTAAAGTGGTTCTTGCAATGCTGACAAGGCAGGAGCAAGTTGTTGCAAATTATTATCTTCATTTAAATGAATAAAAGTATTTATCTTATTATATATGTTTGTCTTTTTTTTGTCAAAAATATATTAATCTATATATATTTAAGAATTTCTATATATTACATAATATAATCTAGGCTTTTGAAAGGCTTGAAAGTGATGACATAGTCGACAAGGAATCATCGTGGGCGGGACTTTGATCATTTAAATAGTTCTACCAAAAAGGTTACAGCTATTCAAGGTTATGTAGTTGAGAAAATTATGACTTACTTTAAAATATAATTATTAATGTATTTATAATTTCTATTGTAAAGTTGCAATTTTCATCATTATTACAATTTTTATAAAGTTCAAATATCCTGCTTAGATTTTTTCATAATTTTTCTTTTATTTTTATCATCCTACCTTCAAAAAAGGACGATTATTTAAAAAATCAAATTGACTCAAATTATTTTTAATATAAAAAATAATTAAATTATTATTATTAAAACTTAATTAATGTTATATTAAGAATAAATATACGTTGAAAGTTAAAAGAAAGACATATATATACATATATAAGAAGAATATTTGTTAAATTTTCGTCGAAAATATTAATAGTTTCGATGTTTCTGAGTACAATAATATCTCCAGTGTTAAAACCGAACAGGTTCTGTAAACCTTGTGTGATGCAAGGCTGCTGACGACATAAGAATCACGAAAACATCTCGACGATAAAATATTACTTTTTTTCATATATTACAATGTTTTTTTTAATATATGTAATTCTTTATATATAATAGCTGATGGAAATTAATTAAATTGAGACTAAATCAAGATTTTTATAATAAAAGAGTTATAATAAATAAAAAATTTTGATTTATTAATAA